ATCTGGAGGAAAAAAGACGTCTCCTTGCTTTCATTCGAGTGTATAAGTTTGAGGTGGTCCTTATTCCTTTGAACATCCCCCCCCCCCCCCCCTCCCAAGTTTAGTGTGTTTTGTTTCTCTTCCTTTTGTGGTTTGGTAGGTGGGTAGGGCGTAGGAGACCTTTTGTTCTTACCTAAAAAAAACTATTGAATCTTTGCAGAGTAGCAGATTTCCACCTGGAACTTGAGCAAGAAGTTATATTAAGCCTGCTTGACTTCTTCAAAGCTGTCTCTGCAAGATCTCGGAGTAAAGTCTTGCCATTTTCAGATCCTGCGCATATTCCTCTGCTTTTCGATGCTGGCAATAGACGTGATTGGGTTGATAATTATGCCATACCAAGAGAAGAAAATTATCGAGTTAAGCATGCTGCCAAACAAAAGAGGAATATAGGCTATGGATCTCTTCCATCAGTAGTTCCAATTGGAGCTCCTTGGCAAAAGATTTTCCTGCTGGCCGGGAAGCAGAAGAAGATCTATGTGGAGTTGTTTGATCTTTCTCCCATCAAGTTCACTTTGAGGTCAGTAACTTTAAGGGACACTTAACTCTTGGTCATTGTTATGTATACTGATGAATGCGATATCTTGTGTTTCACAGCTTTTCTAGTTCTCCATGGATTCTTAGGAACGGTATTCTTACATCAGGAGAATCTCTTATCCATGTAAGTTTTAGAATTGTACTGATTCATACATCATTATATAGTGACCATTGATCTTTATTATCTTATATCAGTTCATTTTATACATGATGTTCTTTTTCACTGTGTTTTAATTGTGTCCCGATTGCATTTGTTTAGTGGTGCATCTGACAATTACTCGTTAAGTGATGGTGAAACTGCAACTATTTTTGTTCACCATCTTATCGGTGTCATCTATCTGCTTCTTTAGGGTTTGTGATTTTCTGCTATAGGCATGATCAATAATGAATTGATGTTGGACTCCAGCCATTTTTGTTTGTTACTCACGATTGCAGTTACTTACAGAAACGTCTTATGGCTGTTGCTGATGTTGAGGGAGCTCGGATCAGTCTCAAACAGTTGACTATTGCACATCAGATGGCTAGCTTAGAATCAATGAGGGACATCATCGTTAGACATTACACTCGTCAACTTCTTCACGAGATATACAAGGTATGTATTGATGGTTGATGAGTTCACTTCATTATTTTAACAGTTTGAGAAGTCCTTTTACACCAGTACTTCTCATGTTTCATTTGCAATGTCCTTTTAACCTGTGAGCATTGGGCAATGCACAGGTGTTTGGTTCTGCTGGGGTTATAGGCAATCCCATGGGCGTTGCTAGGAGTTTAGGACTTGGTGTCAGAGATTTCCTATCTGCTCCTGCCAGAAGTGTTCTCCAGGTGCATCAGCTCTTCTTGTCCTTGTTCTGTTATCCTGCCACAATCTTGCTCTTCCGCACTGACCGCTGAATAATATTTTTTTCATCTTACAGAGCCCCACTGGGCTTATTACAGGCATGGCACAAGGCACTGGTAGTCTGGTGAGTAACACCGTGTATGCTCTAAGTGATGCTGCCACACAGTTTAGTAAAGCTGCACACAAGGTAGAGACAGTTTCTTTCTTACAGTTAATTGAATATTTCAGTTTATCAAGTTTGAATCTGACAAATCCTCTGTACAGGGCATTGTTGCATTTACCTTTGACGAGCAAGCTGTTGCTAGGATGGAAAAGCAACAGAAAGGTGCGCCTTCCCAGAGTAAAGGTGTAATAAGTGAAGTTCTTGAGGTACATATGTTTCTCCGAAAGTTTCTGATTTTGTCTTGCCTTTGCAAATTGGATTTATACTGAACAGATTTAGGTGTGATGATGTTACGAGGGCCTTGATAGTATTTCACTTGAACCCACTTCAGTGTTAATTGAACTGACAGAACACCTTCATCTGCTGTTTGAAATAGGGACTGACTGGTCTGCTTCAGTCTCCAATTAAAGAAGCTGAGAAGCATGGTCTTCCTGGTGTCTTCTCAGGTAACGTTTTCCATCTTTCCAACTTCCATAGCATTTTAGGATTTGAATGCAATGGCTTCAACTCATACAGTTTAGGAGCATTAGAAAGTTGATTACTCGGGATGATTGGTTGTCATGTATTACAAAATACACGTTTTGTAGTAATGCTTGTATTTTATTTATTTTTATGGGTAGAAGTAATGCTTGTATTCTGAATGTGTGATTTGTGAAACACATGTATTGTCGGAAATGTGGTGTTTGGTTTGAATGGCTAGTTCAAAAAAGACCACTTGAGCCCACCAAAAAGATTAGGGGGGTTACCAAATATTTCCAGAATTTACATGAAGTCATGTATTTTTGAAATACATGGGTCTTGCAATGCATAATTTTTGAAATACATGGGTCTTGCAATGCATAATTTTTGGTATCTAACTTGGACAAGGAAGATGACGCATTGCAACAAACAATGGATTCTAAAAATCAACGGGAACAATACATGGTGACCAAACGACCCATAATGGCCAAGTCACATTCTCTCCAAATGATAGTGTCCTTAATGGAATGTAGAAACGTCACTAAATTGGTTTCTAATCCACATGGTGTTGTTACCGTTTTCCCTCTCGACTTTTCCTTCTCAGTTGCTGCTTGTTGCTGGATGATTATCCTTGCAGGTCTCGCACTGGGAATCTCAGGCCTCGTGGCTAAACCAGCAGCTAGTCTCCTTGAGGTCACAGGGAAAACAGCACAAAGCATAAGAAATCGAAGCCGGCTATACCATCAACGCTACAGAGTTCGCTTCCCAAGACCTCTAAGTCCACAACTTCCCTTAAGGCCATACTGTTTGGAAGAGGCCATTGGGACATCAGTGCTCTCGTGTGCTGCTGACGATTCAATGAAACTCAAGGATGAGGTGTTAGTAATGTGCAGACCACTCAGAGAAGCTGGTAAATATGCCGTTCTCACTGAGAGACTGGTGCTAAAAGCCTACTCTTCCAGCTTGGTTGACTTAGGAACCCAAAACTTCCGTGGGGTGCCCATGGATCCGAACTGGATAGTTGAGTCGGAAATCAGTCTGGATAGTGTGATCCACGCAGATACTGCGGATGGCGTGGTGCACATTGTTGGGAGCAGCTCAGATGCTTTGGTTAGGCAGAATCAGCTACAGTTTAAAAGAGGCAGCGACTCGAAGGCGAGGCAGTGGACAAACCCTTCGACTCCGCTCCCACTTTTCCAGACTAACCTGGAACTGCCCACGGAGAACGATGCGCAAGACTTCTTGCGAGTTCTAATGTCAACGATTGAAGAGGCGAAAGGCAAGAGACAAGGCATCGGGCGTGTGCTGCATAGAAGTAATATCATGTAGGCAGAAAATATTGGACGTGTATCGTTCCTGAATTGAAGCTTGTGAAAAGAACCATGGCTAATGTGGTTTTGGTTCTAAATTTTGACATATTTTGGCTGCATACGTAGCCTACTGTGTATATGAAGGCCTCTGTGAATAATATGCATTGGAACTCCTTGGCTCATTTTGAGATATGTCAACTTCGAGTGGCTGAGTAATCGAATGGGGTAAATGATGGAAATAATCGAGTTGCATTCTTGTTTCCACTATCTTATGATAACTACTGCTATTTAAACCTCCAGTACTCTATCCTTAGTTACATATGTGATCCCAACTTTCGTCCCGTACATTTGATTTGTTTTTATTTTTTACTTTTTTTTTACAATTGTTAAGCTAACCCCAACAGGGGGCAAAAAAAATGGGTGGTATTATGGCTATTTTAGCTTTTTAGCCCCTCGAAAACAACTGCAATCTGGGGTTACAATTTTCTGGTTTAATCCTAACTTATGAATTGTTTAACTTATAAATTTTATTTTAAATTTTATATATTTATTTATGATAATTCGATACAAACATTTCAATAAAATTTAGTTATCCTAATTTAGGAATTGTTTAATTTTAGATCTGCAACCACTTAAAAAAAGTCCACATTTAGTTACTCACTTATACACCCTATATTGAACCCTGAACGAGAGAATTTTTCGAACTAAGGTCGTTTGGAAGTTGTGATAGTTTTGTTGAGATTGTCATTATGCATGTATTATTTACAATGCATCGTTTTTTGGTTTTTTTTAGCAGAAACAATACATGGATTGTTTCTGTGATGTGACAGAAACTATCACTCATTTTGAGTGATTGTTATATCTCAACTTTTAGTTGTGATTGTTGTGATAGTTGAGTTGAGATTGTTTTGTCTCAGCTTTTAACTGATGCGACATACACAATCACACATACCAAACGTTGTATTCTACAATGCATCAAATTCGACAATACATGTATAATATTATACATGTATTCTCAACAATACATCTATTTAACAATCGCAACTTCCAAAACGACCCCAAAGTGAATTATTTTTGGAAAACCGTGCTTTCCCTCAACCTTTTCCCTGTTGGCCTTTTCCCATCTACAAAAACAGATGGTAGATGACTAGATGTATGCTGTAGACCAGTGTGAAGATAATAAAGCTAGCTTTTCATTTAACGTTAGTGTACAAATTACATGTTATAATCGATCAAGTCAGTGAGCATGAAGCAACGCAAATATGGAGGTTACTTCTCTCAAACGTTCTCAGTAGCCATTTCTCATCATTGTCAGGTCCTGCTACATACGTACATCGGAGACATTGCCATTTTCCATACGAGTAAAATGCAACAATACTTGATCTCGCTCCTTATACACGCTTTGGAGGAACGTAAAGCACGCGCTCTTCTTGACATAACATCTGCAACAGCCCCCGCAAACAGAGTATAGTCAATGGTTATTTCCCGAGCCTTATTTGTGGAGAACAGTATCATGCAAGCAAAGCAAACACAAAGTAGTCTCCCTCGACCATTAAGATAAGTGCCATCAACACTGGGTTTTATTCGCATCAAAGCTTAGAGAAACTAAGCATACGATACTGACCTGCAAATCCTCTGATAGCTGCTCTGAAACTGCAAGGGTATAACAGCCAGGGACGAATTTTCCTGGAAGCAGTTTAATGGTAATGTATGTAAGCAAAATGAACCATCCGGGGGAATATATCAAACCTGAACTCCACAAGAATGCAGACGAACATCCAAAAGAAGTGAAAGAAACAACCATGCTTGACAAAAATGACACTACACAGATCACATATCCATCAACAATTTCATGACACGCAGTGGGTGTATAATCAACCGACTGAGCACCAACAGAGATTGGATAGCCCGAATGTGCTCAAGAATAACAATACAAAGCACAAACAGCATAATTAGACCCACTCAAATGTTATTGTGGAATCGAAGAGCAAAGAGACTGAATATACCAATTCTCAACCATCGAGCCGCCCAGCTTCTTGCAGGATCCATAACAGAAATTATACTACAGCAAAGAAGAAAACCCATCAAAGAAGAGAACAAAAAAAAAAGCCATCGGAAGCATTTAACTGATCAGAATACAATCAACCAGTTTTACTACATTGAAGATGAAAATGTAAATGGCACTAAAATGACAAAATGCGGAAAGTAAGATGAGACATTGGCATGGCTAATTCATATATAATATAGAAACGAATGGCCGAGTTACCCATTGAAATTGGGGGTGGTGCAGTCGACAACGTGCTCATGATCTTCCTCCATCTTGAAAAAGGGGCAGTTCTCGCAACCAGACTCCCTGAACTGCACATGCGAGGAGCGAACTCGTCAAGGAAAGGATAATCTTGGCGTCTGATTTTCTTAAGTATTAATTGAATTTTCGATCGAATCCCTAAAACCCTAATTACACTAAAGGGAGAAGGGAGGGGCAACAGATGAGAAGGAAAGGAAGAGGGGTTTACCTGGTCGTAAGTCTTGACAAGCCGGCATCGGAGACATGCCCTTAGCTCGTGACCGAAGCTGGTCGGAATCTGCGCCGCCGGCGCCGGATGATTGTGGTTGCTGCCCATTGCTCTTCGCCGCTGTTCAAATGGTTCCCGATTCTTCGAGCGCAGTGAAGGAGAGCAATGGGTAGTTATCATAAATGGTCACAAAACTATTCACTTTGTACAAAATGGTCACAAACATTTATTTTTGTACGTTTCAGTAACATATGTTTGTACTAATAACAAAAAGGTAATTCCGTCTATTTCCATCCAAACTTCTGTTAATTTGGTCCAGTCAATTGTCCCGTCAACATCCACATCATAAAAATAACTAATAAAAACATAAAATAAAACCAATTAAACCCTAACCAAGCCACCACCCCAATCCAACCCAACCCATCTTTCATACCTCCTTTCCCTCTCTGCAACCATCTCCGCACCACCCATCTGCAGTAAAACTTCCGTCCATCCGTTGGTTGTTGGCGGCTGATGTATTCTTTCGCCAATCCCCCTCGAATACATTTACTGCCGGCTGCGACGGAGTCCGAATCGGAAGAGGCGACCGCCGGAGGGAGAATCAGAAAACGGCCGACTTGGACGAAGGAGAAGGAAGTGGTATCGGTGGCGGCATTGTGGAGGAACAGATATTGGGTACTATTACTGAGGCATGGGAAAAGTATTCCAAAAGGAATCATCGTCCACCATGGTTACTTCTTCCACCATGGTTACTTCTGTTCCTTTCCCCCACTTTCCCTTTGGTTCCACCAATTATAAAGATTTAATCTTTATAGTATTTACTAGCAACCCGGTAAGGATTTCTTGTTCTAGACTATGCATTTCGTGTTGGGACTTTTAGGGACGAGGGTCCACGTACGATAGCCCAAGACCGGGTGACTAGGATTATGATAGAGTCGTGAACTACGTTCACTTTCCGAAAAGAATATTTCCACCCTCTACAAAGCCTTGGGTTACAGGAAATTTCTCCCGAGGATAAAACTATCACCACTTTAGGTTCCAGGCTCAAGAACACTAAAGCATACTTAGAAATTTTATGAAGAAAGAAGAAGAATATGTTTGATGGTATGTGGCATCATCCAACCCACACATATTTATAGGGGGCCGAATCCATGCATTGTTTCATGAAAGGTTGCCTTTATCCATACGAAAGGTTGCCTTTATCCAAATGAAAGGTTGCCTCTTTCCATATGAAAGGTTATCCTTATCCATATGAAGGGTTGCCTCTATCCATAAGGTTATCCTTATCCATAAAATAATGCAACCGCCACTAGGCCAAAGGGATGTGTCCCTTCACGGAATTAGAATATCGGTTCGGTCGGTCTAATACCAAACCGGTTGGTCGGTCCAACCCAAAACCGGTTTGATTTGGTTAGTCCGGTTCAACCAAATTTCCAACATTCCTCCCCCATTTTAGTGTATTCATAGAATTCACTAAAATCACAACATTCTTCCAACAAAACTTAAGCATAAATGAAAATGTCGTGACGATTGAATTTTCACCTTAGTATATTACACTTGACGAATACTCGAATACAAAGGGTGTCGGTAACGATTGAACCCATTGACTCATATGAATATTCGAAGATAATATACACTTAAATTTTCAAAACTTCTAAGCGCCTTGACACTATTATCCGCCATGTGTCCAATCCTTCTCATAAGCGCACACGAAACCAAAGTCCGGGTTTCTTGAAGCGGCTACACTTCATGCTTACGTAGGTTGAATCTCTTATTCGTGTACCCGCATAATACACTTTTTCAAAGATTCAATTAAGAAGTTTTGAACTTCATCCTCTTCTCTCATGCAGGATAACAAGCACATACCTCGGGATGAAAAATTGTGTGCTTCAATTTCTGATAATAAGCTTTCCACATTGAATTCAGCCTCTAACGTTGTATTAGAGGGGAATTGGGTGTCCCATTACCAGAAATTATATGGACTTTAACCCATCCCTTTCACAGACTTGATCACCAAGTCACTAGTTAACCACTTCGTCAAATGATCAACCAAATTATTTTGAGTTTGGTCATACTGTCTAGACACAACACTATGAATGATCAGTTCACAGCTTTTACCGTGCCTTACTCCCACATGACCGTACTTGTCATTTTCACTTGACTATATGCCTTAGCCAAATTAGCATTACTATCACAAAAGATAGTAATAGGTGAGATTGGTTTAGGCCATAAATATATGTCATAAACCAAACCTCTCAACAATTATGTCTCTTCTCTAAGAGAAATCAAGGCCACACAAATTTTGATTTCATAGTGAAACTTCGTGATGCAAGTTTGCTTTCTAGAGGCCCAAATTATGGCACCTCTCCCATGCAAGAGGACCCATCTCAATGTTGAAGTATCACCTTTAACATGAGAAATCCAACTAACATCAACAAATCCTTTCCAAAATTGATGGAAAGCCACTATAAGTCAATACAGTGTGCCTTTGACATATCCTAGTACACGCCTCATTTCATTTCAAATGATGAGAACTAGGATTCATCACATACCAACTTAATTGTTCTATCGCATATGCGATATCTAGCATCATGTAAATCATGCATACATCTCCAGTTGTAAAACTGATTTCCAGTATTAACTATAGGTTCCATACTTGGATCCATTGGGGTCTTTAACTCACTACAATTCATACTATGGAATTTATGCAAGTACCTTCTCATGCAGAAAAATTGAGAGAAGGAATCTTCTTTGTCGTTCCGCTTGATTCAATACACAAAATCACATTTGCCTCCCCCATGTCCTACATGGAGAATTGAAATAACAACTTTTTATCAAAGTTCACTTATCTTTTATTGGTTCCAAAGATAACCATGTCTTATACATACAAATGTACGATGACTTCATTACCAGAATCATCATAAATTGTGTATACATTTTGTCTCCTTGGTTTAAAATAACATAAACCACTAGACAAAATCACTTATCTTTGATTGGCCCCAAAGATAAATATGTCATCTACATACAAACACAACGACTCTATTACTAGAATCATCAAACATTGTATACACAATTTCGTCTCTTTGGTTTAACATAAACCACTAGACAAAATCACACCACCAAACCACTAGACAAATCCAAGTTTATCTAGAACTTCGTAAATGTCAAATAGAGAATTAGACCAATTAACCATTGAGTATGTGACCTACCCAAAGGCAATTTCCATTATTCTATTTCTCCATTTTACGAATCATTCTCCTTCTTCCTCATCTTCGAATCATCCCTCTTCCAAGTTACCTTCCGGATATGGAATACACCATGAGATAAGTACGAAGAAAACCCATCTTCTACTGCCATCGATGAAAAACCCATCATCGAACATTCTCATAATTCCATAGACCGGAACCGGTTTCTTGTAAAGAGCGGTTCTAGCCATCGTACCGGAAAATTATTCTTTTCGATTGTTGGGACTTTTAGGCACGAGGGTACACGTACGATAGCCCGAGACCGGGTGACTAGGATTATGATAGAGTCGTGAACTACGTTCACTTTCCGAAAAGAATATTTCCACCCTCTACAAAGCCTTGGGTTACAGGAAATTTCTCCCGAGGATAAAACTATCACCACTTTAGGTTCCAGGCTCAAGAACACTAAAGCATACTTAGAAATTTTAGGAAGAAAGAAGAAGAATATGTTTGATGGTATGTGGCATCATCCAACCCACACATATTTATAGGGGCCGAATCCATGCATTGTTTCATGAAAGGTTGCCTTTATCCATACGAAAGGTTGCCTTTATTCAAATGAAAGGCTGCCTCTTTCCATATGAAAGGTTATCCTTATCCATATGAAGGGTTGCCTCTATCCATAAGGTTATCCTTATCCATAAAATAATGCAACCGCCACTAGGCCAAAGGGATGTGTCCCTTCACGGAATTAGAATATCGGTTCGGTCGGTCTAATACCAAACCGGTTGGTCGGTCCAACCCAAAACCGGTTTGACTTGGTTAGTCCGGTTCAACCAAATTTCCAACATTTCGATTACCAGTTTCTGGGTTTCTGTGATCGACACAAAAGTATTCCACACATCAAGGGCTTTTGTTAGTCGCTCAACAAAATGAAGGATAGTTCCTTCGAGCTGCCCCTTGGAAGCAAAAGGAAAACAAGCGCAATATCTAGTAAGCAAGAAATTAGATGAAGGCTACCCTGAGATCAATGAATCCAGGTCATTTTCGGTAGAAAGCGAAATTCTAGTTATCGAGAAGACTAATATACCACGCCATAGATAGATAGGTACCTAGGAGCTGGGGTGATGCGTGGCATATAAAAACTTCCGAGCTCGATACAATCCTTGGCCAGGGGGCTTTTCACTTAGATTTGGGAAAACAAACTTCAATGGGGCTCTCCGCTTTTATACAGGGGAGGGAGAAGAGATAGAGAGGAAGGGGTTGGGTTGGGGTGGTGGGTTGGTTGGTTAGGTTTTAATTTGTTTTATTTTATTTTATTTTTTATTAATTATTTTGATGATGTGGATGTTGACGGGACAACTGACTGGACCAAACTAACAGAATTATGGATGAAGATGGACGGAATTACCTTTTTGTTATTAGTCCAAACATATGTTACTGAAACGTACAAAAATAAAGGTTTGTGAACATTTTGTACAAAGTGAATAGTTTTGTGACCATTTATGATAACTACCCGGAGAGCAATTATAAATCGACTCCTTCGGATAAAGAAAGAAGGTAAGAAGTCGAAAATAAGCATGACTGAGAAGTGGGCCAATACAGCCCAATGTCTGAAATAAGTTTTAGTGTTTTACAGCTTCCCAGTGGACATCATGGATCTTTAAATAATTACTGCCTAGCTTAGCGGCCCCAGCTCGCATTTTTATTTATTTTCTAAAATAAACCGAAATAAGCATAGCAAATAGCAATCGAGATTTGCATTGCACTTGCAGGAGGTTTGCTGGAAATGGCTAGAATATTAACATTTTTTTAGGCATAGTGCTAACAGCCTAACAATAAGAATATTTTATTTGAATGAGTTTTTATTTAAATAAGTTTATCATAACTAATGAGAATGAGGAGAAAGTGGAAGGACACGGTCGTCATTAATAAAAATTGGAAAAATGAACCAAAGTTACTTGTGCGTTAAAAATATTTGAAATTTGTGAATAGTTTTGAAACTATAAGTCTCAAGTGGAGAAATACCATATTGATGGAAAAAGATTTGCAAAAGGTCTATAAAGATTGAGTTCTTTCATTTAGTGGCTATGCTCAAAAGTAGTAATCACCATGGTTACTAAGGGTAAATTGGGTATGGAAAAAAAATTATATTAATTAATTTTTTAATAAATTATATTTTAGGTAGTTACAAAAATCTATTAATTAAAATTCTCTATTTCTCTCACTTCCGTAATATCCAGCCAGATTTTTTTTCTATATTTTTCTCAATCTTTCTGCAAAAAAAAAAAAAACACGAAATCAGTACCAATCCATTAGACAAACACTACCACTTTGAAAAACATCAATACCATTGCAGAAATAAATATCTATACCATTACACGAAAACTACCATTGCAGAAATAAATCTATACCATTACACGAAAACTACCAATATAAACAATCTATACCACTGCACATTGAATCAATAAACAAAAAATTACTAGATCTAGGTTTTTATGTCTATTATGGTTGTATATGGCTGCTACCAAAATCATATCTTTGGTACCAATTCTTTAACAGAGAATGAACAAGATTTGACACTTAAGGTGATGCTACCAAAATCATATCTTTGGTACCAATTCTTTAACAGAGAATGAACAAGATTTGACACTTAAGGTGACCCTCCCAATTGCAGGAATCAACTAGCAGGTACGAGCTTGTGGAGGCAAGCAGTGGCGGGAAATTAAGCAGACACAATCTCCACATTCAGCAGTTAGGTCCCGACACAGTAGAGAGAGAGAGGTACCAGCACAGAGGGGAGGGAGGCCCTGCGGTGGCCGAGGGGGCTGCTGCCGGCGGTGCGACGGGAGTGGTACGTGGAGGCGGCTGCGACGGGTTTGGCTGGAGGGAGGATAGAACTAGGGTTTGGGCAGATTATATAGAATAATCAGGTGTGGTCACTTTTTAATTTCCAAAATTATCCTTTCAGAATATTGACCGTAAGATTAAAAAATAAGGGAAAATAATTAATCAAATGGTATATAAAGAGGTTGCCACCGTGATTACTAAAAAATAAGTAATCACCCTAACCCATTCCGGTGTGACCCCCTTTTGTGGAAGAGGAAGGGACCTAATAAACTACCACACACGCGGGCGCGCGTGCTGTCCGATCAATCAATTGAGCGAGTGGGTGCGCCGGCTTGAGACTAATACTTTTTGGAAATTTTCTGTACTTAATTATTATGTATGCTTAACATATACGTTAATAAGGATCATTAATAGAAAATATTAGTGAGATAATTTGGCTAGTTATCTTACTAGATGCATTTTTAATTAAGGAGATATTTATCTTCCTGTAAATAGCTGGCCCCTTCAGAGTTCAGACCCTCTAAACTCACCAATTTGAAGAGTAGAAACACGGGAGAGAGTGGAAATTTAGAGAGCTCTAATTTTCGCACAAAACCACCTAGCAACAAAGAGTGATTGTTTTATTTTAGAGGCGATCGGTTGATAGTCTACTACCCGCAGGCAATGCGAACGTCTTACAGAGATCGATATAGTTCGTGACTCAGCCATATTTGGTAACCCTAGTTTCTCTTTGTTCGATTTCTAACAATTTTAAAACGTTGTTATGTTGGTATGGCGACCGAACAGAACAACACCAGATATGGCGCTTGCGATATCAATCGTTCCTTCCACTTCCTTGGAGTCAACTTCCTCCATTGGAGACAGAAGATGTTGTTCTATCTCACGATCAAGAAATTGGCGTACTCCATGCCCACGGATTTGATCGAAGAAGCAACTAATGCTGCGGAGAAGGGTACTATTGCAAAGGCGAAAAAGGACGACTTCATGTGTAAGAACTACATCCTCAACGACATGGCTGATGATCACTACGACTACGATCAGACAACTTGTTTGCTTTAAGAAACTCGTGTTCTACTTTAGTAAACTTGTGGTCTACTTTAATAGGTTTCTAGTCTACTTTAAAAAAAATTGTGATTTTCTTTATGAGATTTCTAGTTTGCTTAAGGGAACTTCTTATATGCTTTAAGAAACTTGTGGCCTGCTTCTGTGAACCTTTGGTCGTCTCTGTGAGGTTTCTGGTTGCTTTAGGAAACTTGCGGTTTGCTTTGAGTTTGTTTTTTTTTTTGTCTATTTTCTTAATTTTGTGACGTGGTGAGGTTCCGATTTACTTTGTAAGTTTTATGATCTGCTTTATGTTATTTCTAGTGTTGTTTGTTATGTTTCTTGTATATAATTTGCGGTCCGCTACATGATGCTTGTGATGAGCCATATCCGGTACCAAGCAACCCGTGTGCGCGCTGCTTTCCGTTATAGAAAAGCTCCTTGAGCTTTAGGGTTTCGTAAGAAAGAAGAAGAAGGCGGTATCAAATGGGAAAACCCGCAAAGAGATCTGTTCTCAAGACTTTCATATATATATGAGTCTCAGGTGTAAACAACAAGCAACAGTGAAAATGGAAATAGGAAGTTAAACAGAAATTCGAAATAAAACAGTAAAAGCTAGCCACGTGTCTTCTTCTCGTTGGCTCGTTAAAACTCCACCCAACGGTAAAACTCCAGACTCCACGACGACGTTTTATCCTTCGTTTAAGTTGAGTGGAAGGGGAGGCAGAAACGAAACGTTTCTGCCTCTGTTCTTCAAAGCTCTGCAATCTTCATCGATCAGCTCTAGTACAGCTGCAACATCAGTGAGATGAATTCTCATTCTTCGACTTCCAGTTCAGATACTCCCCCACAAGCTGGCGAGTAAGCATTGAACACTCCCAGCTTGTCCAACAGAAACTTCAAACGATATCGAGTAACTCCTTTGGTGAAGATATCAGCAATCTGATCATCTGTTCTAACATGGCTTAGTTTAATGAGTCCAGACTTCAATCTCTCCCTTGTAACATGGCAGTCAATTTCAATGTGCTTGGTCCTTTCGTGAAACACTGGGTTCTCTGCTATGTGTAAGGCAGACTTGTTATCACAAAAGAGAGGAATTGGAAGAGGTACCTGGACTCCCATTTCCAACAACAGATTTCTAAGCCATTGAACCTCACAAACAACCTGTGCCAAAGCCCTGTATTCTGCTTCAGAGGATGACCTTGATACTGTTGTCTGTTTCTTGGTTTTCCATGTGATCAAGGAGGTACCCAGGAATGTACAATACCCAGTTAATGATCTCCTCGAATTAGGACATCTTGCCCAATCTGCATCACAGTAACCTTGCAGCTCTAATTTTGAATCAGCCCTGAACATCAGACCTTGTCCAGGAGTCTGCTTTAAATACCTGATCACTCTGTGTGCTGCTTGTAGATGCTCTACACAAGGTGTGGCCTGAAACTGTGCAAGTTGCTGAATTGCATAAGTTATATCTGGTCTGGTAATGGTAAGGTAATGTAACCTGCCAATTAGTCTCCTATAAACAGTGGCATCTGGTAATGGTTCTTCCTGAGTAGCTGAAAGTTTCACATTGCAATCCACAGGGGATAAGCAACCCTTAGCTTCAAGAAAACCTGTATATGTTACCAGCTCAAGACAGTACTTCTTCTGACTCAAAGATAGGGGTGGCCATTTGGACCGGGACCGGATAAAAAACCAGAAACCGGACCGTATAAACCGGACCGTTTAAGACCGGGACCGGATGTAAAACAATCCAATCCCGTCTTTGGTCTTAGAATTAGCAAAAAAACCGGACCAATCCAGTCCGGGTCAAAACCGTGTAAAAACCGGAAGACCGGATTAATAAAAAACAGACCAGACCCAAAAGACAAAGCCCATATGGGCCAAGACAAGCCCACTCTCACTAGTCACTACCCACAGGCCACAGCGGCCCAGCCGGCCCAGTCCAATGTCCATCGGCAACTAGGGTTGCCCAGACGCCTCACGCCAGTCGCCCTCTGACCCTCTCCAGTCTCCTCCATCGTTCACACTTCACACTCGGACTCGGCAGTCGGACTCGGCAGCAGTGTGCACCGCAGTTCGCAGTCGCACTCTCCTCCACATTCGCCATTCGCCAAGCCAACCATCACTTCTCCTTCTCCCATCCCAACTTCGCAGTTCGCACAGCAGCCGCCGCCGACCCAGCGAGTGCTTCTCCGCGACCGCGAGACCGCGACCAGCCGCCAGCGAGTGCTCCTCCCCTCGGGAAATGGTACAAGTTCTTTGGGTAGACATACTATAAGGTGCTTAAAGAAACTACAAGAAAAGGGGAAGCAGTTGAATTTAGAACTCAATCCAAGTTCTGTTGAAGGGCAAGGAGTTTTGGGGACTTGGAAATTTGATCAAAAGTCTATCAGAGCTGGGTTAGTTGAAATGATAATTCTGGATGAAATGCCTTTTAAGAGTGTGGAGAAAGAAGGTTTTAAGCGCTTCATGGCTCTTGCTTGTCCGATGTTTAAGATTCCAGGCAGAAAAGCAATTAGAGAAGATTGTTTTAGATTGTTTCTTGAACAGAAGGGCAAGTTGAGAGATTACTTCAAGATCAAGTGTGGAGGAAGGGTGTCCATAACTACAGATAGTTGGACTTCTTGTCAAAATTTCAACTATATGTGCATTACTGCACATTTTGTCGGGAAGGATTGGAAGCTATACAAGAAGGTGATCAGTTTTTGCAAGATTACAAGTCATAAGGGGATTGATCTAGGTGATGCAATAGCTGATTCTTTGGAGCATTGGGGTTTGAAAAATATTTTCACAGTCACAGTTGACAATGCAAGTGCAAATGACACGGCACTTCTTCATTTGAGAGATAGACTTGAAGAATGGGGTACTAATATAGTTGGTGGAAAGTACCTTCACATGCGGTGTATCGCTCATATAGTGAATTTGGTTGTGAGCGATGGTTTAGAAGAGATGGGCATGTCAATAAGGAGGGTGAGAGAGGTTGTGAGATGGGTTAGATCATCACCATCTAGATTTGCAAAGTTCAAGGAGTGTGTGGAATTTCACAACATTGAATCGAAGAAGATGTTGAGTCTAGATGTGCCTACAAGGTGGAATTCCACCTACTACATGCTTGAAGCTGCTGTGGTGTTTGAAGATGCATTCTCTAGTCTTGAGAGGAAGGATAAGGATTACAAGCCCGATCTCAAGGCAAAGAGGTACAAGAATCAAGAAATTGGTGTCCCTCAATATGAAGATTGGAAGAATGCAAAAGTTTTGATGAAGTATTTGAAATTCTTTCATGATTTGACTTTGATTGCATCCACTACTTCTGTTGTGACTGCTCATCGATTCTTGAGAGAGTTTGGAAAGGTCTTCTATCATGTTGAGAAAATGATGAATAGCAGGGATGATGACATAGTTAGGATGGGTATGAAGATGAAGGCTAAAGTTGACAAATATTGGTCGGAGAAGGATTGTGTCAACTTCAGATTGAACAGGTTGGTTTACATGGCTGTGGTGTTTGATCCGAGGCATAAGATGAACTATCCGGATCATATTTTCAAGAAGATGTGTGGAGAGGAAAGGGCAAAAGTCTTGGTGAAAGAGTTGAATGATGAACTCGAGAAGTTGTTTGAATATTATCAGAGTAAGATGCCTCCTCCTTCTTCTTCTTCTCCTCCAAAACGTCGAGTACAAGTTGCCACTTCAAGTTCACCGAGGTCGGCTAGTGATTCTGATGATTCTTATGATGATTATGATCCTGATGATGATTATGGAAAACCTCAAGCTGGTCATACTAAGAGTGAGTTGGAGAAGTATCTTGTTCATCCTCGAGAATATGATGATGCTGAAGAAGAGTTTGATGTGTTGAAGTGGTGGAAGACGAATGCTATGAGGTATCCCATCTTGAGTGAGATGGCAAAGGATCTGTTTGCTATTCCTATGTCAACCGTTCCTTCCGAGTCCGTTTTTAGCACAAGTGGGCGTGTTTTAGATGAATTTAGGAGCTCTTTGCATCCTAAGATTGTGGAAGCTCTCATATGCAGTCAAGATTGGATTAGATCAAGTTCTAGTGAGTTTGTGGAGCATCTTAATGGTGATGATGATGACTATGAGGATCAAGAAGACTTCGTGAGTGGTAAGTAAATTACTTTGTAGTTTTTAGTTTTGGTCATGTAAATGCTATTGCTAACAATTATATTTTTTTGATCCGTGTCATTTAGTTTACAATGCTATTATGGTGGATGAGGCGGAAATGCGTGATCATGTGAGTGGACATGAAGGTACAAGTACGAGCAATGTCGGAGGGAGTGATGTGTTTGGTTCGAGGAGTGGAACGAATCAAGGAGGTGGATCTAATGCTTCATTTGTTTCTCTTGATGAGTAGAAATGGTTTGGTGGATTTCTTAGATTGGAGTGAATTTGGTGTTTGATATCTAAACTTCGGTTGTGAACTTGTGATGCACTTTATTTTATTTTGAAGTTTGAATTGGACTTTGAGTTTGTAATAGACATCATTGATGGTTGTGATTGTGTATTGGACCATGTTTGGCTTGATTTTTGCTACAAACAGGTTGTCTATATTCCAGGAAAATGGGTATATGCTGCTGAATTTTCTGCAAAATGGTCAAAATGGGTCAAAACAGGTCAAAACCGGATTGGGACCGGACCGGGTCAAAACCGGACTGTACCCAATCCAAGCTTTGGTCCCTATATTTTCAAAAAGACCGGACTGGACCGGATCAATTCGGGCCAATTTAACCGGACCGGACCGTATAGCCACCCCTACTCAAAGAGATCCCTCTGTGATCCCTTAACACTTCCAAACCCAGAAAATAACTCATTTGTCCAAGGTCCTTGACCTTGAACTCCTTGCTCAAGAAGAGTTTCAACTGTTCAATGTCTCCTAAATAACTTCCAGCAATTAAAATATCATCAACATACACTAAAACAACAACCACCCTTCCTTGTATCCATCTGACAAACATAGAGTAATCAGATGCAGTTTGAGAATATCCATTTTTCATCAATGCAGTGGTCAACTTGGCAAATCATTGCCTACTAGCCTGTTTGAGACCATATAAAGACTTCTTAAGTCTATAGACCAAACCCTGGTCTCTAGGTACATTGGCACCAGGTGGGATTTCAAGGTAGACCTCTTCTTCCAAATCACCATGTAAAAAGGCATTGGACACATCCATTTGATGTATGTGCCAATCCTTGGAGGCAGCAACTGATAGAAGAGTTTTGACAGAATTGATTTTGGCCACAGGTGAGTAAGTGTCCAAAAAATCAATTCCATATATTTGAGTGTAGCCTTTTGCTACAACTCTTGATTTGAATCTTTCAATAGTGCCATCAGACTTATGTTTGATCTTAAATACCCATTTAGAACCCACTGCCTTCTTTCCTTTTGGTAGTTTTACAACCTCCTATGTCTGATTTTCTTCAAGTGCTGCTAACTCCTCATTACAAGCCTGATTCCACCTAGGATCTTTGCAGGCTTCTGCATATGATGTAGGTTCTTCATTCAACATGACACTCATGGCAAAAGCCCTTTGAGAAGGGGAAAGCTGCTCATAAGAAAAATGCTGCCAGACATGATGCCTAGAGCAGGAAGCTGCAATATTGAAATGATAATCTTTGTGCCAAGCAGGCACAGTTTTGATTCTTGAAGACTTTCTCAGGAATTCAGCTTCTTCAGCATCATGTGGATCAGGGAAGACCTCTCTCTGCATCCTCCCCCCCCCCCCCAAGAATGCAAATCATGCATAGTAGGTGGTGAAACATCAGAAGAATGGGAAACATCAGAAGGAGAATGTGTGTGAAAAGGCATGGAGGCATTCTGAGGAGTAGAGGTAGAGGATGAAGGATGAGCAGGAGAAGGTACAGTAGCTGGAGAAGGTGTGAGAATAGGAAGAGGAGGAAAATTGGGAGTAATAGGGTCTGGAATTGATGGAGAGTGAGAATTGGAGGCTGAGACAGAGAAGGGGAAAATGGTTTCATAGAATGTGACATCACGAGAGACAAAGAAAGAATGAGAGTTGATGTCATAGAGCTTGTAGCCCTTTATCCCTGAAGGGAAACCAAGGAAAATACATTGCCTGGCTCGACTGTCAAATTTTGTCCTATCCCTATGAAGTGTAGCAGCATAACAAAGACATCCAAACACTCTTAGACCAGCCAAGCTAGGAGGTTTGTTGTATAAACACTCATAGGGAGATTTGTTGGCAAGAATAGAAGAAGGGATTCGATTTATAAGGTAGACAGCATGGAGAATACAATCACTCCAAAACTGCAGAGGCACTCCTGATTGAAACCTGAGAGATCTAGCCACATTCAAGATGTGTTGGTGCTTTCTCTCAACCCTGGCATTCTGCTCAGGAGTTTCAACACAGGATAGCTGATGCACAATGCCATGTGCTGAATAGAAATCAGCCATATGGAATTCATTTCCCTGATCACTGCGAATAATTTTGACACTTTTGCCAAACTGCTTGGAAATCATCACACAAAAAGATTCCAGTAATGAACTTGCCTCAGATTTATACTTCATAAGATAGGTCCATACACCTCTAGAGTGATCATCTACTATAGTAAGAAAGTAGTAATAGCCATCATGAGATCTAACTGCAAGGAGACCCCATATGTCTACATGGATAAGTTCAAATGCTTCTTGAGCATGACTGGTACTAACAGGAAAAGGAAGCCTTTTATGTTTGGCAAAATGACAAGTCTGACAGTGGAAAACTGAGGTCCTATTACAAGGTACTAAGAGTTTTCCCTTCTCTCTACTGAGATGTCCTAGCCTCCAGTGCCATAGCTCAATGTTGTGTGGAGAGAAATTGTAGGTAGCAGCTGCTTGAGGTGTTTGAGGTAAGGAAGTGGTCTTGAAGGAAAGTTGGTAAAGCCCTTTAATCTGTTTTGCCAAACCAGTCCTGCTGTGGGTCATGAGGTCCTGAATTTGGCAAGAATCATATTCAAAGTGTAAGGAGATAGGAAGGTCATTTGTGAGCTTACTAACTGAAACAAGATTGAAAGAAAAACTAGGCACAAGGAGGACATTCTCTAAGATGAGACAAGTAGGGAGTTTCACTCTCCCAATGTGACTAACAGTGACCTTAGTTCCAGTAGGTAGGAAGACAAATTGGTCCACAACAGGTGTAGACTCAATGAATAAGGATAAACTACAGGCAATGTGATCTGATGCCCCAGTATCAAGTATCCATATCCCTAGTAGAGACTCACATTGGTGCTGTAAGTAAGAAGAAAGGACATACTTACCAGCACAGTTAGGAAAGTGAGGAATGTGCTGTGCAACAGAGAATGCATGATGATTTATGGATGGAGATGTGGGTGGTGAAGGGCTGGGTGAGGAAGTAACAGAATTCAGCAGGAACTTTAGTTTGTTGAGCTCTTCTGATGATAAGCCAAAGTTGCTTTGTGAATGCCTTGTGTCAACAGTGGACTTAGAATCAGAAGTGGAACTGTCACTGTCTGTAGAAGAATCACCTTGTGACACTGCTGCAACCACATTTCCTCCACCCATCCTGGCTTTCTTGTTTTTCAACCTGTAGCAATCTTCAATGTTATGGTTCTCTTGCTTACAATATCGACAGGATTTCTTCCCATCAGACCCTCCACTGGTCTTAGTCTGATTACCAGGAGAGCCTGTTACTGCAAGAGCTACTCCTTGAACTCCCTTCGATGTACCCTTATCCCCCTTGATCTTCTGCTCATGCTGAAGCAGGTCATTGACAGCAGCATCCACAGTTGGAAGAGGTTTCATCATTAGAAGTTGTGTATGAACAACCTCATATTCTGGCCTGAGGCCCTTGAGGAATCGAATCAGATATTCTACCTCTTGCTTTTGTTTGAAAGACTCAACTGCAGGACAAGGTCGAACTCTAGGAACCACACAATCACACTCAACAATAGGGTTAAACTGTAGATTTTCTTCCCATAACCTCTTGAAGGCAGTGTAGTATTGGGTGATATTGAGGGTTCCCTGCTTACAAGCTATGATCTGGTCTTGTAGGTGTGCCAGCTTGATAGCATTAGGAAGTCCAACCCTCCTCTTAAGCTCATCCCACAGATTCTTCGTATTCTCATGCTGCATAACACTTCTTCGAATCTCTTTCTCAATGGAATTCAAAATCCAGCACAACACCAGAGTGTTGCAAGCATCCCACAAGGCATAATTAGCATCATCCACACTGGGCATAACAATAGAACCATCTATAAATCCAAGCTTATGCTTGGTTTTCAAAGCCATGCGAATAGCACGCTGCCACATCTGATAATTTGGGCCATCTAGATTCTCAGACACAATCGATTGAGAAATGTTCTCATTTGGGTTAATGTAGAATGGGTTACCAAATTGTAGATCTGGGCGTCCTGGGTTGCCGTTGTTGCTCGTGGTTCCAGTCTGAGAGTTGAAAGATCCAAAAGGAATGCCGGTGTTACCACCAGAGTAGGGAGACCCATGAGGTGGTGTGTTCGACATTGCTGAAGAAATCTGGACCTTAGTCCAGCTCTGATACCATATAGAAAAGCTCCTTGAGCTTTAGGGTTTCGTAAGAAAGAAGAAGAAGGCGGTATCAAATGGGAAAACCCGCAAGGAGATCTGTTCTCCAGACTTTCATATATATATGAGTCTCAGGTGTAAACAACAAGCAACAGTGAAAATGGAAATAGGAAGTTAAACAGAAATTCGAAATAAAACAGTAAAAGCTAGCCACGTGTCTTCTTCTCGTTGGCTCGTTAAAACTCCACCCAACGGTAAAACTCCAGACTCTACGACGACGTTTTATCCTTCGTTTAAGTTGAGTGGAAGGGGAGGCAGAAACGAAACGTTTCTGCCTCTGTTCTTCAAAGCTCTGCAATCTTCATCGATCAGCTCTAGTACAGCTGCAACATCAGTGAGATGAATTCTCATTCTTCGACTTCCCGTTCAGATATCCGTTGTCAACAAGATCATCGATACTTATGTCCGCGCTGCAGGCACACATCATCATGCGGAAAGAGCGGCGGACAATAATGTGGTTGCCGTCGTACTGTCCAAACCTCCAAAATGAAACGACACCTTTCTGGCAGTCATTACTAAGCACGCAGTTTAGTCTGCATCGCCAAGAAAGCGACCACTACATATGGAATATTATTTACAAGAGCCCTGTGCCGGTTTTCAGTTCACGCAGACGCAGGTGCACACAGCCTAGCTATATATATATACTAAGCCAGTTTGAAACTTAAATCCATCAGCTACTATAGCTACGTACCATCTTTGATTTCGTAAAATCGATTGTTTTGAAGAAAGCAGCAGCATACAAGAAGAAGAATAATGGCGATGATGATGTGGACGGGTAAGGTAGAATCAGGCGCTCGTAGCTTCGTCCACAAATTCCTGGGGCGCTTCATTTCCACTGGATCATTGACGTGAGATTCTTCTTCTTCTTCGTCTTCCGTCTTTCTTCTTCTTCTTATTCTTCACTGTTATTAAGATCAATAAATAAAACAGTATACTGGAAGATGGCACCTCAACGACTTTCCAAGGAGTGGATGGAAACGACCATTTGATCAAGGCATGCCTGACTCTTCAAAACCAGCAGTTTTATTGGAAGGTATACATATATATGGTTCAGACTAGCTGTACGTCAGACGTACATCGGGTTTTACTATTTAGAGCACAAATTAATCAGAGTTTGAGGGCATGATACTATACCCTAACCTTTAATGGGTGAACCCCCGGTCCCTAATTCCCTAACTCAAGCCATGAGATTCATTTAATCTAAAAAAAATAATAACCGACTCTTCTGATTCAACGAAATATATTAAAGTGCAAAAACCAAGTGTGAACACAGGCGTACAGCATACGCCAGACGTACAATGATTCGGTCACCTACTTCATGCAGTTAGCTTATTATAATCTTACTAGCTAATTAAATAAATATATATAGTATGCAAATTACATGTATATAAAAATTGAAGGTATATTCTTTTTAGGTAATGACACGAAGTGAAATAGGGGTGGCGGATGCTTATATAGAAGGAGATGTCGATTTTGCTGACAAAGACCAAGGTCTACTAGCGTTTCTCGTGGTGAGTTCGGATATACCTTCTTCACAATAAGTTTAGTTTAGTTTTTTTTTTTTTTTTTTGTTCTGTGCCCTGAAATTTTTGTGATTTTTTTTTATCCGATCCTTTCCCATATATAATTAATTAGAGGTTATGAATCTTTTATACAACAGTAATGCTAAAACCAATAATTAAGTATCAGTGAGTAACAGAGAGTACAATATAGTAATCTAATCAGCAAAAGGCATAAAGAAGGGGAGTACAAAAACCTTATTCTACAAAATCCTACAAAACTCAAATCATGAAACGTTAACGTAGAAATTTGTTACAGTGACTTGCAAGTCATCGTGATTTGGACAAAACGGTCGATCTCTTCACAAATTTGGTCGACCTCTTCGCTAATCGATAAGCCTTACCCGTTCAATTTTCGATATATATTTTCAGCTTAGTTGGTTAAGCATTGACCGCCAAATGCAGTTAGTGGTTTAATCAAACTGAAATCAAATAGCATATCCATAGTAAGACTTCATAAAACCATCCTACTACTTCATTCCACGATCTTACTATTATGGTAAGACTGACCACATCATCATACCACGCTCATATCATAATATTGTCCTAGTCATATGACAATGATATGATGACATAATATTTTTTATCCATTGTAAAACGAATGAGATATCATTCGTTAAACATTCATATATGATATTTTAAAAGTGCATTAACCATCGTCTAGAGATTCAAGCCAGCTCCCAAAAATCTGCTCATCTGTCTCTCAAACTCATACTTTCCCTCCTTACACCTATGCAAAGATGATCATTAGACCACACCTTCTCTAATCTCAACCATTCATACGTGGTTTTGTAGTACTACAAAATAGTAACTTTTTCCAAAACTACCAAACCCTACAAAGCCACCGTCTCTGACTGTCTGATAAATCGAATCTAACAGCCAAAAGAGGGACGAGATGGTAATTCCCTTTGGTGTTTTTTTTTTTCTCGGCTGAAATTCTTTCATGTATTCCAGAGGAGAGAGCTTTTTCTAATCTCTATTTTTTTTTAATTGGACCATATCACATTCATTTCAACCCATATTTTAGAATTTTACGCATTAAAATAAAGCATTAATCACGATATACACAATAATATCTATTTTCCTCTATTTTGATCAAAACAAAAAAGAACTCCGTGATAGACATGTTGGTTGTAGCATTATCAATATCATAACATTATGATATGGCAATTATATGATTCTATATCCATTTTTTATCTCGTGTTCGATGTCATCTTATCACTGTCATTTCGCTTTGTTTGCAGCTCCTAATTGCTAACAGAGACCATAATAAATGGCTTTCCAAATCCAACAGCACAAGGTATAAATACTCCACAAACTAATTATTAATTGAGGACTATTATGGTTAAAAAAGTAATACTAATTAAGCTCTCTCTTCCATAGTTTTTTTTTTTGTAAAACTCTTAATTGTTTAGTTATTGCGGTTACTGTAATATTTTGCAGGGGGTGGTGGACACCTCTGGTACTTACAAGTGCTGCCTCGTCAGCAAACTTCTTCTTGCATCATGTCATGAGAAACAATTCCCTAACACAAGCTCGCAGGAACATTTCTCGTCATTACGACTTGGTATTACTACTGTTCATATAAACTCAATTTTTAGATACATGAATTAACCCCAAAAAAAAAATATATCACGAGAAAATCGTAATTACTTCGTAAATTGGCTTGCGCGTAGAGCAACGAATTTTTCGCCTTGTTCTTGGACGAGACAATGACTTACTCGACCGGGATATTTAAGGTAATATTTTTTTTTATTTATTTATTATTCATCCAAAGTATATACGTGCACTACCTAATGTACGGTTAATCGAGCTTAATTAACAGAACGGAGAGGACGAGGACTTGAAGGGAGCTCAACTAAGGAAAATCTCGTCCCTTATTGAAAAGGTACGTACCGCGTTATGTTCATTTGGGTCGGATCAGATTACACTAGTACTCTTTCTTACAGTTGTGATCCCCCGAATCAAACTTTGTTGCTACGTACGTGAGATACCGCGGATAGATGTCATCGAATGTTCAATATTATGAAATTGGGTTTCCCTAACACCCAACTACGTGCCATATGTATCCGCATCATATAATTGAATTGATGCAATAGGTTCATTTAATGTAATAGGTTCATTGAATTGATGCAATGCTTTTGTGTACGTAACATATATGTATATGCTTTTCTTTTTGCAGGGGAGAATTGGGGAAAAGCAACAAGTGCTTGAAATAGGTTGCGGTTGGGGAAGCTTTGCTATCGAAGTAGTGAAACAGACTGGGTGCAATTACACTGGGATCACTTTGTCACAAAAGCAACTCCAATATGCACAGGCTAAGGTCAACGAAGCTGGTCTCCAGGTAACCTATACTCATATTTTTACCTTTGGGCGATTGGTGAAGTTGTTAGAAACTTAGAAGACTAGTTAAGTATGTTGGGTTAAATTTTGTTCGAAGAGATCACTCTAATTCGAAGTTTTGTCATGAAAATTTGATCATGTCACATCGATGAAATAGCGGTGAACAGATTTTGAACGAAAAAAACTAACAAATGAACATGTATGATTGATTGTATGCAGATAATAAGAAGAAACGGTTTTACGCGCTCATACTAGTAGATATATGTTTAAGAAAATGTATAGAAAAGGGCGGAAATAATATATGAATGGTACGTGAATGTAGAAATCACCTACATTATCTTTTTCATTTTTATGGAACATGCAGGATGCAATTCAATTGCTACTGTGTGACTATCGCGAGTTGCCCAAAACAAAGAAATATGACAGAATTGTGTCGTGGTGAGCTTCTGATTCATCTCTATCTCTCCTTCAATTAATTGCGCGATAGCAATTAAGTGGCATACGCGATTTCTTCACAATTAATTAGGAAGTAATTTCATAAACATCGTTCAATTAAGTGAATACAATATACTCGTTTAACTTAAAATCATCATTTCGGTCATCCAATTTACGTCAAAATGGTTTTAAATACTCAATTATGTGACAATGATAAAAAAAACACTTGTGAGTTTAAGTACACATTATTTTTTTATATTTGCTTGTATTTTAAATATTAATGAAACTTGGATGATACAATTTTAGAAATTCATCTACAATATGTATATTACTTGATGTATACTCCTTCCCGAATATTCAATATATGAATAATATATTTGTAGCCTTTAAGGTGTTCTTCGATCTCTTGCAATTTGATTATTAGAATTTAACTTTTAGCTATGGATAAGAGTATAGACATATAATGACCAATCAATCTAGTTTAGATGCTCCCAATATGTATATTACTCTATCGGTAATTAGTTATTAACTTATTACTTTTAACGTGGTCTTATCTTAATAATAATCGCAGCGAAATGATAGAACATGTTGGGCATGAATACATGGATGAGTTCTTCGCTTCATGCGAATCAGTCTTGGCAAAAGACGGATTATTTATTCTCCAGGTAATTATTTATTGGACAGTGCTAATATATTTGGTTTCGTATTTTATTAATGGATAGGGTTGAAACTCAACTTAAGTTAAAATATTTGTTTTGTCAACAATATTAACAACTTCAAACTAAAACCAGTAAACTCTAGATTGGCGAAGTAGTAAAATGGTGACCAATATTGTATTCCATGAGGCCTCTAAATCTCTTACTACTCTTTGGTCTCAAGCTAATATTTAATTAACAAGATGGTAATGGTTTGAATGAGAATTATGTTAATAACAAGAAAGAAACATAACTAACTACGAAGGAGACCGCCGCCAAATGTAGGTAATTGCTTAGGGTTGAATTCTTGTAAAAATAGGTTGACATGGATTGAATGCAAGTTAATGAAGGTTTCGCTATCTTCTAAACTGCAAGGAATCACCTAGACCAGTGATTAAATCGATAGTCATGCGCTTAATCACTCTTCTATAGATAGAGCTAAGTTGACTCAATGGTCATGTAACCAACATGATACCTAGAGTGTTAGGGTTAGACTCCTCAAACACATGCAATCGAAACTAAAGTCAACGGTTATGCATTTATAACTATTGGTGGGTTTTAAATCTTCACCAAATTAGATCTACTCAACAAAACTACAATGAGATCATGACTAAACATCAAAAGATATATATAATAGCTTCACAATCATACTTTTACAAACATACCCAAATCAAATCGCTAGGTTAGAGCTCATCTACCTAAGCAAGTAGACAAGGTAGAACATAGAGGAGAAAAAGTGTACAATTAAAGAGGAAAAAGAGCACCAATCCATAGCTAGTTCCATGTTTTCCTTCATAATTTGGTCATCCTTCTTAATATCCCAAAAATCATGCAAACTTGTCACTCTCAATTTACATCTTCACATGTTTTATTTCTCTCTCTCTCTAAAATGCCTCGTTTCTTATAAGAAATTATACATAAAATGTATCATCAGCTTGCTTGAAGTCAATAATATAATAATAATTGTCCTTTGGAGAAAAATTAACAGAATAATAATTGATATAATTAACTTTTACATAAAGTTGCAAACCGATCGACTGTATTTTCTTCTTCCAATAGTGTAGATGATTTTTGTACGCTGATTTTACTGTCCCTTCCCTCTAGTTTATATCCGTAGCTGACGAACGGTATGATGAATACCGTCAAAGTTCGGATTTCATCAAAGAGTACATTTTCCCTGGCGCTTGCGTGCCCTCATTTAGCAGAGTTGTAGCCGCCATGAATGCTTCTTCGGCTCTATGGTAATTAATCTAAATTATCACTCAAACATGTGTATTAACTAATTAATTGATATGTAATATAATTTGCTGTAAATATAACCTATTTACGCCCATTTTTGGTAATATATATATAGCGTGGAGCATGCAGAAAATATTGGAAGTCATTACTACTACACTTTAAGACTCTGGAGGAAAAATCTTCTGAAAAACAAGAGGTACTCTCAATAATCTCATCAAAACCATATATACCTTTCGAGGAGTAGTTACGTATATGTACGCTCAATATTATTCCCTACGAAAATATGTTTCGATATATTATTCGATATTAAAATTGTGAGACTTTCTTGTTTCTTATAGCAAAATAATGGAGATGGGGTTCGACGAGAAGTTCGTAAGGACGTGGGAATATTATTTTGACTACTGTGCTGCGGGCTTTAAAACCTATACGCTTGGAGACTATCAGGTAATTAATTAATTGTCTCTATATAATGGGGAAAATGGTAAATTTTTTTATTGAATGAATTATGAATTTATGATGTTTTATGTTCTAATTTTTTTTGCAGGTTGTGTTCTCTAGACCAGGAAATCTGATGGCTTTAGGAGATCCATACAAGCGTTTCCCATCAGCTTATTATTGAATCAATGTGGCACAAGGATGGAAAAGAGCACGGGTTGTGATTTTTTAATGGGAGGTTACGTTTTAAATAAAATTTGTGGGTCAACACAAATTTGGTCGAACAGTTATGACGCCCAACTATTCCTATATTGGAGCACCCATAAAAAAAAATTGAGTGATATTATATAATAATTGGGGGCCATACAAATCAAAGCTAATAATTGGTTTGTTTTTGGAATGCAATTTTTCTTTCATCATGATTTGACTTTCTGAATATTTGTTGTTTTTATCATCTATTTTTTTCCTACAAATTAATTATCCCAAACTTCAATTGTATTACCCGATTTTAGGGATGCCGAAATGCTTCCTTTCCTTTTCTTCGGGAGCAACTAGTTGAAGCAAGTTTGGACCATGACATCTTTTCTTTTCAATGTTTTCCAATGCATGCAACGTTCCATCTCAATGCAAGCCTTCAATTTACTTTCCACTACATAATTCATTTTTCAACAAATGACACTCTAAGATTGTCAGGAACTGGTAGGAAAGAATCGATTGAAGGCGTGAATTAATCACTCTCCTTAGAGTGTTATTTGCCCCCACTACAAATTGCTGGTAGGCTCGAGCAAACCACCCCCAGGAGTCCCTTCAATTTTAAGTATGGAAGCAGCAATCTTACAGACTTCTGTGGTTATGAAATAGAGAAGGAAACGGGAAGAAGAAGTAATCTCTCGTCATTAAAAGAGTTATGACAATCATCTATTTATAGTCGTGAAACTGGAAGTTACCTTTTTTTTTTTTGACAACAACTGGAAGTTACCTTCCGAAGAGACACATCCTTTCACATAAAAGGTAGTTACCTTTCCCGAAAGGACACATCCCTTTCACAGAAAAAAGATAGTTAACTTTCCCGAAAGGACACATCTTTTCACAATATTCAAACGTTAATTAATTAAAATGAAAATTAATTAATTAATTAAACTGCCAAAAGACTCCATCTTTATACTTTACTTCTCTCATGAATTTCGTATTACAACTCTATTGACTAACTCTAACAACATATTCACCCAAGAAACTCATGGATCATTCATTCTTTGGAGTGTTAGAGAACATAGATGGAATATATTTATGCGGCGGGGGATCAGTTTAGTTGCCCCACCCACCATCTCTCCATAGATACCTATCTCTGTATATATAGAAAAAGGATCCATCCAGAGATTATGATTTCCCACCAAACCGGAGGATTAATATCTGCAGAGAAGAGATAACCTTCCTCTCTATTTCTCTCTTCTCTCTCGCTTCCTGCTTTTGCCTGTTTTGAAGGAAGACGGAAATAATGGCGAAGTGGGTAGAATCTGGAGCTCGCAGCCTTTTCATTACCATCCTCGGCCGCAGCATTAACACTGGAGCTTTGACGTACGTGCATGATCAGCTAATTCTTCAAACCTTCATATATCATCCACTTTATATATTTACACTTTTCCAACTATATATATACTACTTTTTTCTTCTTCTTTTTTTGCTGTTTAGATCCCTCATATTTCTTACACCCTTCGTGGGTTGCACAAAGTCATCTTACGAGCTTAGAGTTAGATTATATATTTTTGCATCACTAAATCTTCTTCTTTGATTTTTTTTTTAATGCCATTATATTTGATGTGGTTGAAATTAAATGACATGTCTAGTCTCTTATATTTTTTAATCAATTTTTTTTAAATCAAAATTTCAAAGATTATAAATAATATATGGGCTCATTGTAATCATAAATAAAAATTCGGTGGTACATACCATACCGGCCAGCCCCTGACTCTTCCCTAAGAACATGAGCTATTTTTAGGGTTCTCGTCGTCATTTTTGCTCTTATCCTTTAATTTTTTTGATGCGATTATATTTGATGGTTGAAATTAAGACAACCAGTTAGCGGCTAGCGCACGCACCAGCCACCAAGTGTATAATATATATCATAATAAATAAAAATTCGGCGGTATACATACCATACCGGCCTGTCCCTGGCTCTTCCCTAAAAACTTTGAGCTATTTTAGTATTTTTTAGGCTTCTCGTCGTCATTCCTTGATTCAAACTTTCAAACATTTCGCTTAATTCTATTTTGCTTTCACTTAATTATATCTTAAGATGAATGCATATTATATATATGTATATATATATGGGTTATATATATATATATGGTGGATACTTCGATTCACTCACTTTTTTTGGGTGCACCATCTCTAAAAGTGTTCATAATACATCAAATTTCGAACTTTAACCAGTACTCTCAATCTAATATGATGATATGACATTGAATCATAACAAATCAATCTAGTACCTTAACCCCTTAACCTTCAATTTTGAATCCCAATGCAAAATCTCAAATGGTAAACCTAAACCTAAACCCTAAACCTCTAAATCCTTCAAATTAAAGTAAATCTTAAATAATTTTTTTTCAAATTCATGCGCTTCTTGTTCATAATATCATAAGCAACAATTAATATCATTTTGACATGAATCGTATGCTCAGAATGATAATTATGAGGTGGGGGCACTCAGTGCATCCTATATATATATATGGTTCAGGCTAGCGTACGCCCGGGCTGGAGATGCTCATTAATTAATTTAGTACATGTTGATGGGAAAATGCAGTATATTTGAAGATGGCACGCCAATTATTTTCCAAGGCATTGACCATGACCATGATGAAAACCAACATTTGAAGGCATCCCTCTGCCTTCACAACCCTAACTTCTACTGGAAGGTACGTTTGCGCATCTACTTAATTAGTTCCCGGTTACGTAATTAAAATGCATTATTTTGATTAACAATTGATATATCTTATTCGATGTATATATATAGGTGATGACGAGAAACGATATAGGGCTGGCAGACGCTTACATTGAAGGTGATTTCGCTGTTGTTGACCAAGACCAAGGCCTCTTGCCTCTTTTCTTGGTGAGTTTTTGGTTGTCTATTAATCTTAGCTTGTTGGGAAATATGATATAATTTGCGTGTGTATTTTGTGTTATTAAATTCAGTCGCGTAATAGAATTTTGCGATGACGTGATAGCGAGATCTGAGTAATACACTCTAACTTCTAATTATTATTTAAGCATTTTCATTTTTTGGCACGTAAAAGCAATCAGCTTCTTTTTTTAATTGTTTCATATATAATAAATGGCCAGCTTGCGTTTGTTTGTTCGATTCCCCAAACATTGCTTGCAACTTGCAATCTATGGAACTGAAAGAGAGAATATTGAAAAATCGTATTGGATGTTGTACCGGAAAAATAAATGGTTGGGTATTTTATATTGAAATTGTGGTCCAATCGTTTCATACAACTAAATACTATCTATCGAATTAGTCTCTGATATGAAGTATTTCTGGTCGAACGCTGCTAATACTATAGGATTTTTCAATTCTTGAGAATAGCCCTCAATCTATTCTTTAATTTTTTTTTAATCAATCAATCCTTTAATTTTAGTAATGTATGATGGTGTACAATCCTCACCAACATTAGCCGAATATATATGAGATTGAGGTAAGTTCTGGCAGGGATTATTATAATCTTAGATACTATGAGGGGAATAAATTCAGTAGAGAAATAGTAAATGCAATTTGGCTTGGATTGACGGAGTGTATCGTAATAGTTAGCGAGAGAATATTTTATGGTGAAACTGTAATTTAATTATTGGATTTTTTTGGCTTTCTCTCTTCTTTTGCAGCTCCTAATTGCTAATAGAGACGGAAACAAGTCGGAGCTCAACTCCAACAACAGGTATATATAAGCGCGTACCGATCGACCTTCATTATTAGCCTTTTTTTTTGTCAAAAGATATTATATATTGATAGAAAAGATAGTTACATCCTGGATACCAGCCAGGCTCTGAAATCAAACAAACGACACATAGTCGGATACAAAGAGAGGGCTTTTCTAGCTACCGAATGAGCTACCCTATTGTTCTCCCGACCAATAAATCGTACACTAAACCCCGGCTGGGCTCACAAATAATGACCAATTTCCTCCAGGATTGCACCCAACCGATTATCCCTCGTGTCGGCTTGGTTAATTTTATCAATAAGCACCTTGGCATCACCCTCAAATCGGACCTCCTTGAAACCACACTCCAAACACCAGGTAATAGCCTCCCGCAGCACCAGCAACTCCACCATAACAGGCTCATCCAAAATAGGAAACTGAACTCCCTTAGCCAGAAGCAGTACCCTCTCAGGCGTGAGAAGAACCACCCCACCAGCCGAGTGCGATCCCCTCTTAGTCGCCCCATCCCACCTACAAACCACACGCTAATCCTCCACAGAATGAATATATATGTATATATAATAATTATAATTGTTATACTAATTAATGAATGAATGAATTCTGCACGCAGGGGATGGTGGACACCGGCCAGTGTTATCTCGTCAGCAAACTTTTTATTGCGTCATGTGATGAGAAACAATTCTCTAACACAAGCCCGCCGGAACATTTCTCGTCATTACGATTTGGTACCTATTTCTCACTTATTATTATCATTACTATTATTATTATTATCAAACTATAAGAGTTAATATATAGTAACGAAAGAAAGAAAGAAATATCAAGAAAGAAAGAATTATTATTAATTGATGGACTATAAACTGGGATTATTGTGCAGAGCAACGAGTTTTTCGCCTTGTTCTTGGACGAGACCATGACCTACTCCTCCGGAATATTCAAGGTGATCATATACATATATTTTTTACTCATTTTATTATTATTTTTCCCACTCCAAAAATTAATTAATTAATTATATGTATCATAATTAAACTCGTCGATGGCTGCTTGGTTTCATAATCCAACTCAGAACGAAGATGATGACGACTTGAAGGGAGCGCAACTCAGGAAAATCTCATCCCTCATTCAAAAGGTAATTACGCAAACGCATACGAACAAGGGCTTGGTCTAGTGGTAATACCACTAGTCTAGAACCTGGAGTTCTCAGGTTCGAATCCCTTAAGTAGTACCTTAATCACAAAAAGAGAAATCTATATCACCCTTATCAAAAAAAATTACGCAAAAAAGCTTTTATATATATATATATAGAGAGATTAGACTGGCGTACGTCAGGTGTATACTATTTAAGTGCAAGTATACAACAATTGTTAATATGTTGCAGGCAAGGATTGAAAACAGGCAAGAAGTGCTGGAAATAGGTTGCGGGTGGGGGAGCTTTGCCATCGAAGTGGTGAAACGAACTGGGTGCAATTACACTGGGATCACTTTGTCCCTACAGCAGCTTCAGTATGCACAGGCTAAGGTCAACGAAGCTGGCCTTCAGGATCATATTCAATTGTTGCTATGCGACTATCGCCAACTGCCAAAAACAAATAAGTTTGACAGAATTGTTTCCTGGTGAGCTCCATCTTCAAATTTAATTATGTATTCGTCTCCCTCTCTATCATTCAACTAATAAAAACAAGACGAATTTTACTATGCTCTAAAGCATATGTGCATTGTGGTACAACTTGAAAAGTTGAAATTGTATTTTTAACGTTATGGTACAATTTTAGGTTGTACCTATATTTTTTTGTAAAATCTCTTTATAGTACAAATTAAAGTTATACTTTTATGTTATGGTACAACTTGACTTGAAGTTGTACCATAACATAAATGTCAATTTCTCTTATGGTACAACTTCAATTTGTACCTTTAACGTTATGGTACAACTTTAAGTTGTACTTAAAGCACCGATACTTTAAAGTATAGTAGAAGTGCTCATAAAAACAAGGGTTAATACTTTATTTTGGCCCGAACTATGACCATATAATCAACTTTGGCCCGTGGTACAACTTTAAGTTGTACTTAAAGCACCGATACTTTAAAGTATAGTAGAAGTGCTCATAAAAACAAGGGTTAATACTTTATTTTGGCCCGAACTATGACCATATAATCAACTTTGGCCCGAACTATGACCATATACTCATTTACTTAGAGTCATTTGCTACTAAATGACTTCGTTTGACTCATTTGTTATTATGTGGGTTATCATGTTCTTTATTTGTAATAATCCCAGCAAAATGCGCTTATTGCAGTGAAATGATAGAACATGTTGGGCATGAATACATGGATGAGTTCTTCGCTTCATGCGAATCAGTCTTGGCAAAAGACGGATTATTTGTTCTCCAGGTAATTAATTATTTAATTAATTTAAGATCCTTACATGTTAACTCCATAATATTGCAATAGCTTCAAAATCTTGTTGAATTAAAATTCAGATAACAATTTGCTTTTCCGATTTACTATATATTCACCTTGTACGTAGTTCATATCCATACCTGATGAACGGTACGATCAATATCGTCAAAGTTCGGATTTCATCAAAGAGTATATCTTCCCTGGTGGCTGCTTGCCCTCTTTTACCAGAGTTATAACAGCCATGAATGCTTCTTCACGGCTATGGTACGTACCTATATTAATCTAAGTATTATAAAAAAAATATTTTTAATAATTACCATGCATTCATCGAATTAATTTGTAGCTTAATTAAAAATACGGTAAATGGAACCATGACTTGAAAACTCTTTGGGGTTTTTTTTTTTTTTTTTGGGTTAATATGACTGGCAGTGTGGAGCATGTGGAAAATATCGGAAGTCATTACTTTTACACTTTAAGATGCTGGAGGCAAAACCTGATGAATCATAAGAGGTCAGTGCTCCATTCTTCTTCATTTTCATATATATATGTGATCGGAAAATTAAACTATACAATACAGACCATCTAACTAGAACTTGATAATTTTGGAATGGATACAAAAGTCGTTCTCGGAAATAGGCAAAATTATTCTCATAATTATTCAAGTTGCTTACCTCGATGATGGTACTCCTTGACAATGCTATCATAAACTAGCTTATCTCGTAACTAGCTATATTTCAGTTGTTGGACAAATGTTAATTACTGATCGAATATTATTGTTTATCTCTAAAAGGTCGGAAAACAATCACTTTCTAACATGCATGTACCCGGAAAAAAAATAGTCAATGTGTACAAACTTGGAGTTTGCACATGTCTACCATATATATTGCTTAAATCCACCGTTAATAATGGAGGTCGCAAAAGTTTGAACACACGCCCATTTGTGCAAACCTGCTCTGATATATTGTCAAAACCAACTAGCGTGAGAAAACTAATTATGAATTTTATAACATTCTCTAACGGAATTGTTGTCGATGTATTATTCGATATTCAAATGGTGAGACTTTCTTGTTTCTTACAGCAAAATACTGGAGATGGGATTCGACGAGAAGTTCATAAGGACGTGGGAATACTATTTTGACTACTGTGCTGCTGGTTTTAAAACCTATACGCTTGGTGATTATCAGGTACGTACACATGCTTGATTTTTGGTTAAATTCTGCATGTTTGCTCCCTTTTTTTTTTCTCAAATCTAAGCCACGAAATATTTTTCAACCTAATTGTAAGTCGTTTTCTCAAAATTTATTTTTTTACTTTATTATTATTTAAATTATTCATTATCTCATAAACTATGATTTTATCAATCGAAAAATATCTTTGTAACTTTATTTTTAAACTCTACCGAAACTACTTGCTTGCTCTAAAATCGGAAAAAGTTCATACAATCTGAGGAAAAGTTTGAAATATTTTACAGGTTGTGTTCTCTCGACCTGGAAATATGGTGGCACTAGGAGAGCCATACAAGAGTTTCTCATCGGCTTATCATTAAACCACCACTCCGATGGAGGTGTTATAGAAAGTGTAAATGAAGACCAATTGATCATGAACTATTATGTCATATAACACTTGTGACCAAATAAAATTTGGGTGTGTATGAACACGAAGATTTGTGTTTGGAATTTCAAAAATCGTATTAGTAATTTGCAGTGTTAAGCATGTATTGCATGTGGATTTTGCCACTTATATGATTCAAATTTCCATTGCATGCATAAAGTTGTTTGGAGGCACCATAAACCTACTATTTATGACTATGAATATTTCCAAAATTTGAGCTGAAAAAATTGAATACCTATAGTGTTATAAAACTTATAGGGAAGGGGGAACAAATATATGAACAAAGATACAGAGAAAAGACACAAGGGGTGCTAGTTTAAAAATATGTCTTTTTCATATTTTGAAAATGTTATCTATCAAGAATTTTATTTGTAATGTCTCATTAAAAAAAAATTATGGCATCATTGCCTATTCGACTTAAAATATTAAGAATTTTTTGAGGAAAGGTAGGCAACAAGAGAATTAGAATTTAGTTTTGTAGGTGTTAATTTATGACTAATTAGTCTTTGGTGAACTTTTAATATGAATTTTAGTTTTTATTGTAAGTTGATAAAAAAATATGCCCCCAAACAATCAACTCGATGGTGCAATTGAGTACTTATTTTCAAGGATTGAAAAATAGCCCATATTGGCGGTTCAACAAAAAAAAACTCTTATCGAAAGCAAAATCGATAGGCGGTGTTTAGCTGTATGAAACGGTTGAACCACAGTTTAAACATAAAATACTTCGCCGATGATGACTTTTCTAGTACAACCTCTGGTACGATTTTTCAATCATTGCTTATTTCTATTGTAAATGGATTCCATTTTCAAGTATATATATTTTATTTGTAAAAATGACAAGGCAAGGGGTGCCATGGAACCCCCTTCCTCCATGCTAGTTTCGCCCTTGGAAAGTGGTCTTCTTACTAATCTTATCCCTTTGTACGATGGGATGCTCTTAGTGACAGACTTAGAAATTTTATATAGGGATTAGGGGGTGTCATTTTCAGAAAATAAACTAAAATAACAATTAAAGTTAAACAAATTTTAAATACGAAAATATCTTACATGTACAAGTTACAAAAAAATCTCTTTCAATATATTATACTAGAATCATTCAAGAACTGGTTGCCTATTCGATTTTGAAATTTGTTTTTATGCACCCCAAAGTTTAAATGCTCTCTCAACACTTGAAGTTGCAACCGATAAAATCAATACAACTTTGAGTAGCAAATATACCCATGGATATGATAGATTTAATTTTATCTGCAACATCAACTCAGCTAATTCATTAGTTCTTTTAATCCCCAAAATAACTCATCATTATTAATACAATGATAATAATTATCAAATTCTGGTAGAAGAAAAGAATTAAATAGATAATCAAATTCTTCAGGATAAAATTGTGTTAGAAATTGGAATACGGTGGGAATAAGCCATAAAGGGTAGTCCATGGGTTTATTTTTAGCCTTTGAAAAAAATTCAAGGATAAGGGCTATACATTTATAATTACATTTATGACAAAATTACAACAACATATGAAATCTAGTCTATAAAATATATTTATTAATAACTATTGTGTTATAGATTCGAATCGCATATACTATCATTCTCTTTTTTCCACACTCAAATTGCTACCTAAGGTTCATTAATTTTTCTCCCAAGTTTTATCCACCACTTGGGTCCGCCCAAGGGTGCTCTATTTGTAGACACATATATATAACCATTACAATTTTCTATATCAATGCACATGAATGTGAGGTAATGAGTCATGCATATGATTTATTCTCATGATCAATGTAGAGAGGTAAATAACTCCAAATATAATATCAAATATAGAATCTAATGTAAAATTCTATGGGCATTTAAAATATTTCATTATTTCATAATACTCATCCTTGGATGTCCAATAATTGAGAATATGACTCATTGAAACATTACTATAAAAAACTTTATGGGATAAAATCCTAATTACAACATGAGTTTAGATCTTTAAGTCGTCAAACTATAATTTTATTAGCAAAATTTTCCAATATTGTCATAGGAATTGTGTTAGTAAATAAATCTTATAGATTGTCACTGAATGCATGATCATTAATACCATTTTCTTTATACGTGATCGTCAGGATCATTTTCTCTGAAGATAGTTTGCAACCACAAGTCATTTAGGTTTGTTGAATCACAAATTTTAACCACACAACTCATAACATAACTCATGAATCACTTACCATTATGCATAATTAGGTGACATATCTATTATGCTTTGTTTGGAATCTCCATGTGATAGTCGTGCAACCATAAGTAAATAAATAACTCATCTTTGATTCTCATCATTACCCAATGGTAACAAAGTATAAGCTCAAATCTATTCAAATGTTATCTAATGAGAGAAAAATATATCCTACTAATATATTACACCAAATGATACGTTGAATTGTGTATGGCCAGCAAGATAGATTAGTGCCCTAACGACATCAATATGCGGTACTTCAGGATTAAAACTCTTAAAGATAAAATTATGTTAGAAATTGGAATACGGTGGGGATAAACCAAAACTCATACATGAATCTAAAACCAAAATATCACACACATAAGCATATATATCTCTTATTGTACAATCCAAGTACCACATCGCAAATACAAGGGAAGACACCCTTGCTTTTAGTGTCCACCTAGCCCAATTAGTACGAGGCCTCTTGGGGAGGATGCCCAAAAGTAAATCAATGTGGTCTTGGCCCAAAGAGGACAATATCGTACTAATTGAGCCATTCAATTTCGACAAGTCGTATCGTAGTTTGGTTTTAGAATTTGGATTAGGGACGATGGTCATCAATTTGGTGGACCCTCATTAGGTAACCTCAGAATTTGAGATCTGTGTCTGTTTGATGGATCTAGTAGAGATCCATGTATGTTTGGTGGATCAAGGGAGGTCCATGTATGTCTAGTAGATCAAAGATAATCAAGATAATCACTAAGGCAAGACACAGTGTTGGTGGTCCTTGTCTTGAGTGAAGGATTGTTATTGTACAATCCAAGTACCACATCAGAGATACAAGGGAAGGACCCTTGTAAATTAGTATGAGGCCTCTTAGAAAGGAAACCAAGAGTAAATCGGTACGAATTTGAGCTAAAGCGAACAATATCGTAATAATAAAGCTACTCGGTTTTGACAAGTGGTATCAGATCCTGGTTTGAAGTTCGATTCAGGGTGGCGGACATCACTTTGGTGGCCCTCATTCGATGAGCTCAAGAATTGAGATATGCGTTTGTTTAGCATATCAAGGAGATCCGCGTTTGTCTGACAAATCAATGGAGAATATTTGGAGATATGCATATGGTAAATCCTTGTATCCAAAATCCGGACGATACAATGTGTTCGGCGAATCAAAATAATTGCCGAAGAAAGAACACAAAGTTCATGGTTCTTGTCTTGAGGGGAGAACTATTATGGTACAATCCAAGTACCACATTGTAAATACAAGGGAAGAAACCCTTGTATATTAGTGACCACCTAGCCCAATTAGTACGAGGCTTTTTGGGGAGGATACCTAAAAGTAAATCTATGTGGGTTTGGTACAATAAGAACATTATCATACTAATGGAGCCCTTTGGTTTCGACAATATCATTACACGATCACATATGCAAAATGCAAATGCTCTAATGCACTTTATCTGAATTAATCACTGAAGGCTCTTATTTTTACCAAATATTCACTCAGGCGAGTTTACCTTATTCATCTCTTCCATCTCAATCCGTACAAGGGATTGTTTCATCCAATCAATAAATGTTCTCGAGAATGTTACAAGTTTGCTTTTGGAAAACTAACCTTTCAGGGAGTTTAATATAAATAGTGTCATCAAGGATCCATATTAATAGGATATCACAACATCTATTATATGCATACATTTCATTTTTAGGAACTGTTTGACTAATTAAATTTTGAAAAGTAACTGCATCCACCACATGAGAGTATATCTAAATTATTGGCATTAAATTATTCTCCCTTCTCTCTAGAGACCAAAAAATTTGAATCTCATGGGGCTGTCGTCAGTTTCCTCTAGATCTTGTGGTGACCCTTTAGCATTCTAATCTTTACATTTATGTAGTTCATGCAACATTCTTAACTTCCACTTAAACTTGCTCAGATCTGGATTCGGGAGGTCGTTGTGCCCAAATCTACCACGGAAGAGGGAAATCAATGGTGAGAAGAGCGGTCGGGTTCGTGGGCAGCCACGTCTCTCTGGTGTTCAATAAGTGTGGAGAGCCGGAGAGGGAGCAGAGCAGGGTCATTCTTCCGTTGCTCGGCGATTGATGACGAGAGTGGTAGTGACAGAGGCAACCCTAATCTCAGCTTCGCCGCCCAGCGGTTCAGCCGTCGGAAGGCACTTTGCTAGCTTCCCATTGTGGATCTTCCTAGAGAGAGCGGAACAGCTACGCCGGAGAAGAAGAAAGAGGGGAGATGAGCTTCACTGGGTAAGAGAGGGTCGGCGACGAGGAGTGCTAGAGGAGAGAGGCGAGAGAAAGAGAGGGTCAGGTCGGTTTTGGAATGGGTTACGATTGTTTTTTATGACATGGCAGCCGGGTTTTTATTTTTATTTTGGGTTTAAAGTGGGTGACTAGATATTTCTGTTAGCCATGTCAGCAATTAACTGACGGTGTCAACGAAGACTAACGGTCAGTGACCAAACTTGAACTACGAAACTAACTTAAGTGACTATGAATGGAATAAACTAATCTTAGTGCCTAACGTGAAATTTTATAGTAATTCGAGTGACCAAACTTGCAATTTACCCGATTATAAAGCTAGCACGCTATCAGTACCCTATGTGTATGTATCCCATTAACCACATGAAAATCAACAATTGGAGTAATCCTCCTCCTTCTCCAACTCCGATCACCGCTTGTAACTCGGAAAACCTAGAGTTTACGCCGCTAAACGACTATTGCTAAACGAGAGAAAAAACCCTCCATAAAATCTCATTTCTCAATAATATATCGCAAAAAATTGGAAAAAGAAAATTACAAACAACTTTCAGGGGTCGTTTGCTTGAGGGTTTTGGTGATGGATTTGGTCATGGAAATATATCCATCATAGACTTAAACCGAAATCCATCGTTTGTCTTAGGGAATTAGGGAGATGGAATTTGTGGGGCCCACCACTTTTGGGGTTCCAAATCCGTGGACCCCACGGACTTGGAAGTTCCACCTCTTGAGGTGGGATTTGGGTGATGGATTAAAATCCATGATGGTAAATTACCTTTCTACCCTTAATTATTTCTTTGATTACAAATTTGTCCTACTTTAATTCAATGGTCATGCAACTATAAACTTTTATAATTTCGTATTTTATAAATATGAGAATTTATCATTTCATTTTGTAATATCGTATTTTATTTAAATATGAATGTATATGTGATTTGTTAGATTCACCTAGAAACACTTTATGCTCATCTTGTACATTATTATTTGATTGATTGTCGGATTCCACATCGGTGAGTTAGCAAGAAGATGATGAGTTGTAGCAATAAAGCGAGCAATTGGTTGCAATTGATACATAATATTGCTATCATTATTAGATGAATTGTTTTTTTATGAAGGATTATTAGATGAATTTTTAATTAGTGCCAAGATGAATTGTTAATTAGTGCCATATTGTAATACATTTCTATATTTGTAGTTGAATTATTAATTCATATAGTGGTAAAGATTTTAAAATTTCTTTCTATGTTTTTTATTAGTTTTAAATGAAAGATTTGGATTATAATATAGAAATATAATTAAATAAGGGTAACTAGGTAATTTGTATTTAATATCCACAAATCTAATCAAAGAAAGTCCATAATCAAATCCATCAAGCAAACAATAGACTTGTTCAAATCCATAATGCCACCAAATCCATCATATATCCATGGTTTTCCAAAACCCAGGTTTTACCAAAACCCTCATTTTTCAAATCCATGAAGCAAACGACCCGTCAAGTAAAATATTGAAAAAGTGCAAACCACCTGTTTGCAAAACATAGGAGACGAGCAGCGGCCCCCGAGGTCCCTTTCAAACTTCAAACTTCAAACTTCAAACTTCAAACTTCATCCAAAAAGAAAGGGAAAAGAAAAAGAAACTGAAACCTCCTTTCCTACATCTCCGGTCGCTCCCGAGCCCTTCCCACAAAATTGTTCTTTCTTGCACTTTGCCCCTCAAAATTTGGAAAAATAACAAATACGTCAGTCTTCCTCCCCACACAGTCCCTATCTCTATTTTCCGCTGCCTGCTGGTCTGCTTACAATTTAAGCAGTCTCGCCATTGGCCAACTCTTTGTATCTTTGTTTTTCTCTCTTTCAAACGACTGGTTGTTTTATCGTCTACAACACTCACAAACAGCAAACACAATCATAAAACCCCTTTCTCTTCTTTTCCCCCCTCTTCCTTCTAGAAAAATTTTCCCTCTTTTTTCCCCCCTTCTCCCTCCCTCTCTCTTAGGGTTTCGGAGGCCGCTCCACTGCGGGGACTAGGTAGAGATTGGTGTAGAGAAGAGAGATTGCTCAACACTGCTCTGCTTGCGCCACGGCTCTTTCTGTTTGTTCTTGTTCTTAGGGTTTATCAGTAATCCCAGTCAAATCCTCGATAAACCCCTCCAGAAAATGGCGTCCCTCGCCCTGGCCGCCGAACGACTCAGGGATTTGTCCCAGCCTATTGATGTCTCCTTGCTCGATGCCACCGTCGGTGCTTTCTACGGCACTGGATCTAAGGACGAGGTAATCCCCACTCTCTTGCTCTTATTTCCTCCCGCTATTCGAGAATGGAGACTGGGAATCGTACTGTTGATCGTTAGGGCAGGTAGAGTTCGTTTTTGGCGGGAGTTGAGTTTGTTGTGGCGGCGGAGTAGAGGTGTGTCTAGTGGTCTGCTGGCACTTTACGCTCTGGAGGTGGCCAGAGTTTGCTTAGTTTGTTGCAAGCGAAATTGGTTTAAAATGAGGCATGCGTACTCTCTTCAGTTATTGGAGGGCTGAAATAGGATGGCTGCCGGCAGCTTATCATCATAGTTTTGGTTGCGCCTTCCGGGTTTGCTGGGTATGGCGCGGGCATTGCTGTGAAAGTGGTGCAAGAACCTTTTGCTTTGAGCGTTTGTTGAAGGGTTGTAGCTGTAATTATCCAACTGTGATTTGGATGCTTGACTTTATTTTGTTGTGGACGAACTCATGCACCTTCCCGATTTGGCTTTTAGTTTCGGTTATGTAATATCACTTCCCTGCCATGAATGAAGATTTAGTGCTATGCTTAGTTTTCCTACCTCGTCAATTTGGTGTTACCGAGTTGTCCTTCTTTTCTGTCGGACTAGATAGGTATATTACCCCAATTTGTTAGCCTAACGCTTTTGCTGTCTGCCCTTCCCCCGTTCTTTTCCACTCTCTGCTTTCCTCATGTGATGGTAGAGAGCAGCAGCGGATAGGATTTTGCAGGAATTGCAAGGTAATCCAGACATGTGGCTCCAAGTGGTGCACATTTTGCAGAACACAAAGAATATGAATACCAAGTTCTTTGCCTTGCAGGTGAGCTTTGTGTTACTATTTGTTGTTGTGATAGTATAGCAGGTGGAATGGTGGTTATAGATATTGGCCCTGTTAGCTAAGAGCAATCTAAATGCAGCTTTTGCTCCCCATTTTATCTGAAAATTTCTGGATCATGTTATCTTGCCATGGACACTTCGTTATGGAAATTCGGGTTCTTTTTCTTTTTTGTCTCTAGCTTTACTGATATTGTAGTTCTGTTCCATAAGTTTCAGTTCTAGGGTTAAATAGATTCACAAGCGACAATGTCGCACTGGATGCGCTAGATCTCTTTCTTTGGTGCATGGTCTATGTTGGTGTTCCTCCCGATCATCTGCATGTACGTAGACAGAATTTAGCTTTGTACTCCGTTTAGGTTGCTGAACTTATTAATGTTCCCATTCTTGTGCTCTTTTCTGATGCTATGTCCAATTTGGTATGAGATGCATCTGTCAGATGTATGGCCATTGATGGCTCTGGAGAGCAATGGAGTATCAGCTTTTATCATTCTGGGGTGTGGTTATTACAGCCGGAGAAGTTGTTTGTTTGTTGAATATGTAACCAAATAGAGCTCGACATATTGGGGTTTAATATTTGTGGACCTCCTGGGGCTGTTTAATTACCGAACTAGGAGAAGTAGGTTATATGTTATTAATTGGAGCTTGTTGAGGGGGTGGAATGAGCTTTCTTCTTCTTCCGCTAGTTATTTGCCTTGATGAATGCGGTGAATAGCCTATGTGATGTTAAGTTGAACTGATTTTTTCCAAAGCCTATGCTGTACCTTGCATTTATGTTACTATTGTCTCATGAGTGGAAGGTTTGAGTTGGAAACTGTTTTTTTCCCCAACTCCCTCTAGGTCCTAGAGGGTGTTATAAAGTACAGATGGAATGCATTGCCAGGAGAGCAACGAGATGGGATGAAGAACTACATATCTGAAGTCATCGTGCAGGTAATAAGTCCTTGAATTTGGAGGTTTTCTATTGATTCCCATTTTACCTAAGCAGGGAGATTTCTTACTCTATTTTGATATTATTCTTCCAACATTTTGTCTTAGCTTTCAAGTAATGAGAGTTCTTTTCGTCAAGAAAGGCTGTACGTGAACAAGCTCAATGTCATTTTAGTCCAGGTTTGTTTGCTGGGCTGGAAAAAATTGATTTGTTCTTTTATAGAAAGCTATCAGTACTGCATTTTTCTCTCTTGCTAAATTTTGTCATCTATTGGACATTTTACCGATTTACTGGTCTACATGATTACAGTGCTTGCTGATTGAACGAAAATATTCGAACTTGTTGATAACTTCCTGTAGAACTTCCTATGTTGTGACATTGCTTTAATATCCCTTTAACAACGACCCAAGTGCAGATTTTGAAGCATGAATGGCCATCTAGGTGGCGTAGTTTTATTCCTGATCTAGTAGCAGCTGCAAAAACCAGTGAAACAATTTGTGAGAATTGCATGGCAATTTTGAAAGTGAGTTATTTCTCCTTTTGTTCTGCTATCTTCTTTATCGAATCTGTTAGCGCTGTTTGGTATTGACAAAGTTTTCCTATTAGCTTCTGAGTGAAGAAGTTTTTGATTTCTCTCGAGGGGAGATGACCCAGCAAAAGATAAAGGAACTTAAACAATCCTTGAACAGGTATTTTTCTGGGATTGTAACTTGTATATATTATTGCTATTATTATTAGCAGGCGTTTTTTATGAGGGTGATATAGGGTTGGCTTTTAGCTAGGTGCTACTTAAGAGATTCGAACTTGAGACCTCTTCCAGGTTCTAGACCAGTGTACCAAGCCCTTGTTCGCTATTATTAGCAGACTTATACAGAGATTGTATCATGTCTTGGATTTCTTGTTACTGTTTCTTCTGTATTGCTCTGTTTATTTGAACTCTCTGGCTTACTGTTATCAACTGTAGGTTACTCTATTTATATATATATTTACATGGAACGCTTTAGTGTGCTATATCCTGAACAAGTCTTACCCCAAATTTTGTTTTTGGTAATTTGCAGCGAGTTTCAACTCATTCATGAGTTATGCTTATACGTACTTTCGGCATCTCAAAGAACAGAGCTCATTCGAGCAACACTGTCTACTCTACATGCTTTTCTTTCTTGGATCCCGTTGGGCTACATTTTTGAATCCCCGCTGGTATGTGAACTTGATCATGCATCATTGCTCATGTGGACTTATTCAACTTGCTTTTGTTTGTCTTCCTTCCAATGATGCCTTGTTTTCACAAATGTAATGGCCCATTACCCTTTCTTTTTAATCCAGTTGGAAACACTTCTGAAGTATTTCCCAATGGCATCATATCGAAATCTGGCCCTCCAGTGTCTGACCGAGGTTTGTAGGAGCATAATGAATGATTGTTTTCTTTTTTGTCATGTAGCTGGTTGATACTGATAATGGTCTGGTGTGCAGGTTGCTGCTCTTAGTTTTGGCGACTTTTACAATGTGCAGTATGTCACGATGTACAACTTTTTCATGGTCCAGTTGCAGGTTTGTCGAACATAGTATACTTGGAGTTAGCTCTTGCCTTTGTGTTTTTGCGGTGATTTGATGGGCTTTGCTGTCTAATTTATTCTGAGGTCTTCATATTCAATCTAGCTGGCTGGTTCTTGGTTATTCTTTTATTTCTCAATTGTTTATTATAATTATCTACCTGTCTACCTGTAGGTCATACTCCCACCGGCCACTAGTATTCCAGATGCATACACTAATGGATCTAGTGAAGAGCAGGTTGGTGTTTACACTGCTCTACGTATCTTCCCTGATTGGAAATTCCATGGAAAATTTTATGCGCTTGACTGATGTTTGTGTTCCATTACTTGCCAGGCCTTTATTCAGAATTTGGCGCTGTTTTTTACTTCCTTTTACAAGGCAAGTTTCCTCTCTAGATTCTCTTTACAATTGCTAATGATGCCACATCAAGTGTTTGGAGATGATGAACATAATTACTTTTGTTACATTGTGGAGGACGATATTAAATATCCTGGTGTATTCTATTTTTGCTTATTTCAGTTATTTCTCATCTTTGATTCTTTTGTCGTTTGATGTATTTGAAGCCTGTAAGTCTGGCAGTTGTTTCTCATCTTTGATTCTTCAGTTATCTGCGAAGCCTGAGTGCCTTGATGGTTTTGACGAATATAGTATCATGTCAACTGCATATAGCAGGGGCGTCTTTTAGGCAGTTAGCTATTTCGTGTTGCTTCAACTGTTAACTAACTCTGTCATGCAGGCTCATATCCGGATACTGGAGTCTACCCAGGAAAATATGTCTGCTCTTCTAATGGGTCTTGAATATCTCATTAACATATCATATGTTGATGACACTGAAGTTTTCAAGGTTCTTGCCCTGTGCCCCAGTAATTTGCTCGCCACATTTAGGTGCACAAAGTTATGTGTAAACAATCTTGGCTATGTTGGTGACTGTCTTGTATGGCTCTCAGGTTTGCTTGGATTATTGGAACTCCTTGGTGTTGGAGCTCTTTGAGGCCCATCATAATTTGGACAATCCTGCAGCTACTGCGAACATGATGGGGCTGCAGGTATGGAATCCTTTCCTCTTCCAATAGATATAAGCAGTTTGCATTCTTTGATAGCATCTGTCTGCTGTAATTTCTGTTATGGTACTTAACCAGTGACTCCATTATGTATTGTACATCTAGCTTTCTGTTTATGGTAGGGGGGCACCATTTTAGAAAAATATGATATACCATTGTTGGTTGCCACCTTTGCCCATAATCATTTCACATCTATAAAATGTATAGATAGTACCGGGATAGGGCACAACAATGGTGGCAGCCACTTACCAATTTCAGTGGCTTTGAAAGTGTTTCTGATTCCTACTGGGAAAGATGTTAATGATCTAAATAGGGATCATCATAATATATATTTAACTGCAAAAGAGCACTATTGAATTTGGTAATATGTAGAGCTTCCTTCAGTTTGTGTTGCCTAACTCATGAAGGTTAGAGCTCCCATGCTGATTGTTTTACAATGAATGTCAGGTGCCTTTGCTTCATGGCCTAGTTGATGGCATAGGTTCTCAAATCGTGCAGCGGAGGCAGCTTTATGCTGGTACAATGTCGAAGTTGCGAATGCTTATGATCTGTCGTATGGCTAAACCTGAAGAGGTTCTAATAGTCGAAGATGAAAATGGAAATATTGTTCGTGAAACCTTGAAAGACAATGATGTGCTTGTTCAATACAAGGTAACCAAATGGAACTTCAGTTGTCTTTTCCTTGGTGGCCTTCTAATATGCATGTGCTACTTTAAGCTGTTTGGCTTAATGTGCGGCTAATTTCACATCATGCTGTGGCTTAGCTCTTTAGTTCTCTCTAATAATCCGAGTGATGCAGATCATGCGAGAAACGTTGATCTACTTGTCACATCTTGATCATGAAGACACAGAAAAGCAGGTACTAGATCATGACCCTCTTTTTTTTTTTTAGAATCATTCACCTGTCCACTCTAATGCGTATGTAATAGCTGCCCATTTTCCCATAGTTCAAATCTGCTCCAATCCTTTGATTATTTCCCTCCACAATATCATTGGTTTCCTGGCAAGGATACCATTGTAGCATTCAACCCTTTCTTTCTTGGTTCTGAGAAATGACAACTTGGTGACAAAAGTGCCACATTAGATATTATATGGATTCTTTTGTGCTTCTCTGAGTACCCTTTCCTGTATTTTACTGTATTCTACTTTTTTTTTGTTATCTATATGATCTCTTATATCCCTGACTGTAGATGCTGAAAAAGTTGAGCAAACAATTAACTGGGGAGGATTGGAGTTGGAACAACTTAAACACTCTATGCTGGGCGATAGGGTCCATCTCTGGTTCCATGATGGAAGAACAGGTAGGATTCATGAAAATCTAATTCATATGGTTGTCTCCCTGTATGTTTATGTATATTCTTTTTGCTATTGAGTTAGCCAGCAATCGATGTGCTAGAATTTGGCAACTGTTGTTTTAGCTGTCTAATGTGGGATGTATATGATCAGTTGCTATGGCCAATACTTAGAAGGACTGTACAACTCAATGATAAAGATAGCATATCAGTGGACATTGTGGATTGATTTAAATGTGTAGGATGTGAAGCAATAATTTGTGGACATGACATTAACACACAATGCTGTACAAGTAATTTGTTCCACATTTAACGATTTGCTGTGGTATAAGGATTATGGAAAGATATACCAAGTTATCTCACATAAGTTGTTGCGGCATAGTGATCTCAATTATAGATAGTCCTTTTACCACCAAGTGTGATCTCCTTTCTGCTATGAGATTGTTAAATATTCTGACACAATGATGCTAAACTTTGATTTGGCAACATGAGCTGTGAGGGTAATTAGGTTTTGCCTTATCTTAAACTCTTTTTTGTGCTTCTGCCAGCTCCTATTTACATTCTTATACTAATCTAATCTCTGTTGTTTATTTATGCTCATAATTGTTCTTTCATTTTTTCTCATGATGGTCTATGTCTCTATGATGGACACCTCACCTCAACTTTTGGGTTCTTGACAGGAAAACAGATTTCTGGTTATGGTCATCCGTGACTTGTTGAATTTGTGCGAAATCACAAAAGGAAAAGACAACAAAGCTGTTATTGCAAGCAACATCATGTAAGAGTACATATTTATCTCGTTTCCAGGCTTTGGTGGATATTTATGGTAGAGTATATGATTGCATGGTGGTACTCCAGGTTTAGCACCCTGAAAACTGCATGTTCAGGTCTGGTGTCTGCTAATAAATTGGGGTAGGGTTTCGTGGAGGGAGCCTATTGAAAGCAGTTTAATTATTGTTTTAACTTTTTTTTTCTCAAATATATATTTGCCAGGTATGTTGTTGGACAGTATCCACGATTTCTTAGAGCTCATTGGAAGTTTCTGAAGACTGTAGTCAATAAACTGTTTGAGTTCATGCATGAGACTCACCCAGGAGTTCAGGTTACTATGTCATCTTGTTTTTATGCTTACATGGTTATACCTTACCCTTTCATGTGTTAAGGTGTCTTTTTGGCTCAAAGTATGCTTCAGCATTTCATAAAGTAATAACAACTGTCATGCCTTAAATTTTCAGGATATGGCTTGTGACACCTTCCTGAAAATTGTTCAGAAATGCAAGCGCAAGTTTGTTATCGTACAGGTTAGTAGATTTTTGCGGTCAAGTTTGATAGCAGTCTATTCCCCTTATACATGGTATTTTAGGGTTTGGCATGGCCAAATTGTAAACTACTTTCTACCAAAATAAAAAAATAAAAATTGTAAACTGCACTTCTTTTGCAGGTTGGGGAAAGCGAACCCTTCGTATCTGAACTTTTGTCTGGCCTTGCAACCACTGTTGGTGATCTTGAGCCTCATCAAATTCATTCATTCTATGAATCTGTAAGTGATAGTAATTTGTATGACTTGAGTTTTTCGTTTCTAAGTATTTCATCCTTATTTGAGATATCTGGCTTCTTTTCTGTTAGGTTGGACATATGATTCATGCAGAATCTGATCCACAGAAGAGAGATGAATATTTGCAGAGGCTCATGAATCTGCCAAACGAGGTTAGTTTTACGATAAATGCTGGACTTAGTGATTGGTTCAGTGAGGCTTTTGGTTTGGGTACCTAGTCCATATGATCAATTTTGTTTTAATTGGATTAAAACTAGAAGTGAAAATTGGTTGCACTTTATTCTTTTAGATGACATTAGACTGTAATATGGTTCTCTCTTAACTACTTGCTCATTGATACTGCCATCATTCATCTTCCCACTTTGTAATTTGTATGTTATGGTTGCTGTCTGATATTCTACTTTGTTTGGCAGAAATGGGCTGAGATTATAGCGTCTGCTCGTCAAAGTGTCGATTTTCTGAAAGATCAAGATGTGATTCGAACTGTTCTTAATATACTGCAGGTACATCTTTTAGTACTATCCTTGAATTTCATATTATGTGTTCTACATTGATGTCGCGATAATGGCTCTTCCGATGCCAAGTCTGGCTGATTTCTTGAAAGTTTAATCAAGCAGGCTTTGTTAGTGGAGAACTACAGAGTCTTACACTCTTCGGTGTGGGTTTAGCAGTTCCAACTTCATATCTTAATACAAAGAATCATCACTCATGCTAAGCTAGTGCGTTATACTATTAATGTGCAGACAAATACCAGTGCCGCAACTTCTCTTGGAACTTGCTTCTTACCCCAGATATCTCTGATCTTTTTGGACATGCTTAATGTGTACAGGTATACCACTTAAAAGCAATATTTTTAGTGTCTTGTGTTTATATTATTTTACCAGATTTGGACAGTTTAACTGTGCTCCTTTTTCTTGTTCTTAATGATTACAATATTTGTGGGTTTTCTTCTACAGAATGTATAGTGAGCTTATATCAAGTACTATTGCAAATGGTGGGCCTTTTGCGTCACGAACATCATATGTAAAACTATTAAGGTGGTGCTATTTAAATTGTACTTTGTATAGGTAGAGAGCTCAATCCCTTGGTTTCTAATGCGCATTAGTTCACAGGTCCGTTAAAAGGGAAACACTTAAGCTCATTGAGACGTTTTTGGACAAGGCTGAGGATCAGCCTCAGATTGGGAAGCAATTTGTGCCTCCAATGATGGATCCTGTTCTTGGAGACTATGCTAGAAATTTGCCTGATGCTAGAGAATCTGAGGTTCTCTCACTCTTTGCGACCATTATAAACAAGTATGTGTTCTGAGTAACTTTTCAATTCCCGCTTAAGGTTGATGGTAGATGAAGGTGGTGATGTTCTGCTAAACAGAACGAAGGAATGTTGGAATATCCAATGTTTCCATTATTGTATTTTTGTTTTGTTAACCACATTGACCTTGGTTCAATTGCAGGAAATATTACAGATGCTTTATTTAATCTCATGCCAGTTTATGGAAACAAAAATGCAATAACCTTTTTGATTAGTAAACGGTCCTTTCAATCCAAATTGCTTTTTGTTTGTTTTCTTAAAGGTATAAGGCTACAATGATAGATGACGTTCCTCGCATTTTCGAAGCCGTCTTTCAGTGTACTTTGGAGGTGAGATTTGAGTTTGTATTTGTTTGTTACGTTTTTCTGCTTCCAGTGTTCTTGAAGGGCTTAGGTTTCTCTGTGGTCAAATGGATGAAATTTGATGTGCTTTTTTAATATATCAATTTATTCTGCCAAAGATTCTCTCATCCTTGTTCGGTAGTTGGAATGTTGTTTGGACTGGTTTACAAAAATGGTTTTACATTCTACCTGAGCTGATATGTCTGGCCATGAAATACTGCAGATGATTACCAAAAATTTCGAAGACTACCCCGAGCATCGCCTCAAGTTCTTTTCACTACTTCGGGCAATTGCAACCCACTGTTTTCCTGCTTTGATTCATTTGTCCAGTCCGGTAGGTTGATTTGTTGATACATTCCAGGAAGAAGAAAAATCAATAGCAAGTCTGTCATTTGACTTTGCTCAGTCTCTTCTGGAATTTATGTGTATTGTATTTATATCATGGTTGCCTTTCTTAATACCTCAAATGATCCATTTTTTCCTCTTTGTATTATTCCAATTCTTCAGCAATTGAAGCTGGTAATGGATTCAATTATATGGGCTTTCCGGCATACAGAGCGGAATATAGCCGAGACAGGGTTGAACTTGTTATTAGAGATGCTCAAGAACTTCCAGGTTTGTGCTTATTGCTATATAATAATGTTCTTTTTTTAGCCTTTGGCATATGCCGTCTTTTTATGGTGTTCATATTGGGAACTAACTTTTCATGGATGGCATGTCAGGCGTCAGAGTTCTGTAATCAGTTCTACCAGACCTACTTTGTGACGATTGAGCAGGAGACATTTGCAGTGCTGACGGACACATTTCACAAACCTGGCTTTAAGCTGCATGTCTTGGTGCTACAGCACTTGTTCTGCTTGGTATTTTTCTTGCTATATGGTTTTGTATCTATACTTGCAATCGACTATAGTGGTGGGAAGGAAGGCAAAGCAATCATTCCCTCCTGTTCAATGCAAAAGAAAATAATTTCTCCATCTACAGTGTGTTAGCTAGAACTATTTTTGTTCTACGTCTGGCCTTCAGTAATGTGTATACTGGTTTGGTTGGTGACTGAGATGAATATTGCTCAGGTTGAGAGTGGGGCGCTGACAGAGCCTTTGTGGGATGCTGCAACTGTTCCTTATCCTTACCCGAATAACGCAATGTTTGTTCGAGAGTATACAATCAAGCTATTGGGCACGTCGTTCCCCAATATGACTGTAGCAGAGGTAGAAACTTATGGCCATGTGCTTTTTTGCTCTCTTGCTGTAATTTTCTCCTTTTGTATGAAATTTTTTACCTGTGGATACACAGCTGACGAAGTCGCTGGTTTCAGGTTGGTCAATTTGTGAATGGGCTATTTGAATCGAGAAACGAGTTATCAGGATTCAAAGATCGTATTAGAGATTTCCTTGTGCAATCAAAAGAATTTTCAGCTCAGGTATTGCCGTCCGTCAGAGGCACAACTCCCATGTCTATGTGACACTTTGTCTAGAACTAGAGTTAACTGGTTTGGGAAAACCTTAGTAGGAAGGAGTATGTAATAATGTCATGGATTAATCCTTGAGCTTATGAGGTGGCTGATTGTGCAACAAAATGTTTGGTTGGTTTTGTGCAGGACAATAAGGACCTTTATGCTGAAGAGGCTGCTGCTCAGAGGGAAAGAGAGAGGCAGCGGATGCTTTCTATTCCGGGGCTTATTGCCCCTAATGAGATACAAGACGAGATGTTGGATTCGTAGAAGGCTTTTTCCCCTCGATAGAGCAGCATAGTTTTTCTGTGGGTGAATTTGGGAGAGGTTCCGTGTCGGGGTAAGATGATTCCAGTTTCGTAAGGAGGAAATGAATGTTGAATTGGATATACCACATCTACAGTTTCCCCTAGATGCCCCCTGAAAGTTTTCAATTGGTAATGGAAGGAGTGAATATTTGAGCGGAAGAGTGATGTTGGGCATATTGCCAAAAGGGATGTTTGGGTCAATTAGATGGCTTTTGGGCTGTAGAGTTGGTAGCTTGCTAATGTAGGGAAAAGAAGATGATATTGGTTTATAGTCGAGGGTTCATTTGTACGGGTTTTGTAGGGTGGGGATCCAGCTTCGTACCTGTATAATTCGATAATCATGATCACTGGTAGCGTGGGGATCAAGCTGTTTAAAAGCTGCCTCTCTGTTTTTTTGGTTTTCCATCACTTCATCTGATGAATCTTTATTTAGGCATAATGTGACCATGGGAAAATTCAAAAATACTAACAATTGGTGGGTTGTGCAGAACTACATTTGATTGCCCTAGTTTTCTCCCCTTCTTTCCAAGCAAGGGTTTTAGGCTTGATTTGATTGGTTTCGACCAAGATTGTCAACCCGTGGGCTGATTTGGACCCGGTCGAGCTAGTGGATCAAGGGTTAATCGGTCACTTGGTTTAGCCCGGTTTAAGTCACTCGGTTTAGTCCAGAAATATGGAAAGAGTCATTATATTGGACTTATTTATCCCGATAAATTATATCAAATATTATCTAACATGAGTTATAACATATAGGCGCATTAATTTGATGAGTCATATAACACTTATAAGCGCATTTCGCAAATCGAAAAAAGTCATAATTTGACATCCAACTCGGTACCTTGTAGCGGTCGACCCAGCAGGTGCGTGCGGCTAGTTTTTCTCACCAGGTCAAGGTCAAAGTGGATCGACTTGCCGGTCGACAACCTTTGTTTCGACTGATTGAAAGTACAATCTGTCGGAATTATCCAAAAGACATGAATTGTCCATTGGTGAACTGGGTTTAACACCCGTTGTTTCACATAGTTTCCTATCGCAAACACATGCTGTTCTGACACCTCAGTCCACATTATTGCTCTTATTACAACCAAAGTACGAACGAGAAAATGTAAAAACAGTTCCATCTCTTGTGCCAACAGATTCGCCTATGTTTCTATTGGTCATTCTAGACTAGTTAAGAGATTCCGAACTACCAAAATGCTATAAAAAAAAATCAGGAGCTGTTTATTATTACCATCATCCAGCAGCAGTTTGAGATAATGCTTTCTTTCTATAGCTGGTAAATGTCACTACAAAATGACTACTCAATCTAGGGCATAGTAGTAGTAGATACCAACTCTACCAATCTGCAGAAATCATCAGAGGAGCTTCCCTTGGGCTTAGTAGCTTCCTCAGCTTTCTCCTTGAGAACTCCAACATTCTCCCTCATCCTCTTCCCTTCTTCCCGCTTCAAAACCCTATCCAAACAACCAACCAACCCTTCCTTGGAAAACACTCCACCTTCCAAATTAACCCCAATCCCCCACACATCCTCAATCATCCTCCCATTCAGCCTCTGATCCCCGAAAAACGGCCTGCAGATCATCGGAACCCCACCGGCGATGCTCTCCAGCACCGAATTCCACCCGCAGTGCGTCACGAACACCCCCACGGCGCCGTGCCCCAGCACCTCCACCTGCGGAGCCCAGGGGACCACCATCCCCTGCCCCTGCCCCTGGCTCCGCTCCGCGAACCCTTGGGGCAGATGCGCCCTCGCGTGGTCCCTGAGGGACCACAGGAAGGGCACCCGGGTCGCCTCCAGGGACTCCGCCACCGCACGGATCTCGTGCGGTGGCGGAGTCACCACGGAGCCGAAGCTGACGTACGCGACCGACGCGGGCGCCAGGTTCGGCCCGTCGAGCCAGGGGAGGCAGCTGGAGGAATTGGGTGGCGGTGGCGGCGGGGAGAGGAGGTGGAAAGGGCCGATGTTGAGGAATGTGGTGAAGCGGGATGCTAGGTCATCGGTGATGGTGGGATCGAGGCCGCGAAATGAGTTGATGAAGACGGCGGCTGCGGATTTGGGGAGGTGGGTGGACATGTTGTGGAGCATGGTGGAGAAGATGGAGGTTAGGTTTCCGGTTACTACTCCTTCCGGTAGGTCTTTGACTCGGATTTTGGACATCCCTAGGACTATGCTGCCCAGCTGGGCCTCCTCTGCTTCTGCAAGTGACAGGAAGGTAACTACTTGGTTAACTTGTAAGTGATAAAAGCTCTAACAAACATTTTCCTCCTTCCTAACAACTCGATTTATTGAGAATTCGTGGTTTGTTCAGCCTTTAATCGAAAGGTTATGGTTTCAAATCCTTATGAAGATCTCATTATAAACAATGGTTTAGTACAAGAGATGATATGTTTAAACTGTACAGGCTGAAAGTCTAATGGTTTAGAAGCACAAGGGCTGAAAGGCAAATTTCGGTTTAAGGAAGCGTGTAAGTGATAAAAGTTTGACAAATCCTTTTTCAACAACTCGAGTTATTGAGTCTAAATGATTTATTCGAAGGAAGGATTGCATATGACAATTTTTCAAATTCCAGTATGTATTTATTTATAAAATAAAATTTATATTGGAGAAATGGATATTTCATAAGTGAAACATGAAATAGGTCAAAATGACTTTTGGATCCTATATTGAGCACCTTCAATTCAATATTTTTGTAATTATATATGTGTGTGTCAAATTACATATGGTTTGAATTCTGACACCAATGATTGCTAAAATTTGTACTTTCAAGTAAGGTGATTATATCCAAATTATCAAATTAGCTGTCACTCCGTTCTTGGAGTAATTACTATCAATAATTTTCAAACTTTTCTCTCGTAGTTAGCTTAACTGCTTAAGCTTGAACAAACTCCTAGATGGTTGTTTTACGTGACTAACATTTCACCCACTTATCTTGTGTCAAACTAATATAAAAAACTCAAAATTACATTAATGAAACTGAAATTTAGTCAAAATCCCTAACATAAAAGGAAAAAAATTTAAACTCAGCACGAAATAATATGCGGAATTGCGGATAAAATGATAACTACGTAGATAAATCACAACTGAGCTACTGACATGAGAAAAAGTAGACCATCATCAAAATCAACGGTGAATACGAAAATCAGATCATAATTATCAATCAATTTAAAAAATCTCCCCCGCCGTAATCTCCTAATTTTGAGTGTCGAGAATGCATAATTAGAATTTTTAATTATGGATTCGCCAACAAAAATTTTAATTATGGATTCGCCAACAAAAACTAACGGATTCCGCTTTTAGTTCCTCTTACCTGGAACGTTTCCGAGCGCTTCCCTCAAGCGATCCGTGTACAAATGCGCGGACAACGCGTTGGGCCCCGCGGTCCAAAACCCGACCCACGGAGCCCGCAGCTCCTCCGCCATCTCCGCCGCGAACCAATAGAACGCGTCCGTCACCAAGCAGCTCACCTTCCGCCCGGACTCCGCCTCCGCCGCCGCGATCCCCTGCCTGAACCCCGCCGGCGCCGCCGACATGAACAGCTCGATCGCCTCCTGGTGCCTCCCGGTCAGCTCGTAGCCCTCGGGGATCCCGTCCCACACGTCGTGGGCCCGGACGTTGGCCGGCGGCGAGGCGTCGGCGGAGGGGCGGTTTTTGAAGGCGGAGGCGTTGGATTGCGGGGTGCTGAGGAAGGAGAAGTGGGTCGCCGGAGAGAGGGCGGCGAGGCGGTCGACCACCGCCAGGAGAGGGCCGGCGTGGGTGCCGAATGGAAATGCCAGCACGGCCACGTGAGGCCCGGCGCCGGTTGTCGGCGGCGGCATGTTTTTTCTGATTATATTGTTGTTATTTGAGTGAAGAGTGAAGGGTGGAGTTGCATAAATGAGAGGAGTTTGTGGGAAAGGAAGGAAGGAGGTTGGGCGCCTATTTATATTGTGTAATTGTTTTTTTACTTTGAGCTTTTTTTTGGGGACAAAAATACCATTTTAGTTTAGACTTTAAGGAAGGGATGTGGCAATTTTGGATGAGGTAAAATGCTAAGTAGGGATGATAATGAGACGTTTTATTTTTTATTTTTTCAAATTGGGGTTTTTCAAAGATAAACTCAACTCCATGGGTATATTTGTAAAAAGAAAAAGGACTTGATAAAAAATAGTTTTGGAAAAGAAAGCTCAACCTAACTCATACAGTTAACGAATATAATCGCAAATAATTCTTTTGAACATGCAAACAATTATATCATCAATTTTTCTATAATTGTATTTTCTATTTAGACTAATAACATCAATAATTATCTGTAGTATTAAAATAATAATGTAAATCCTAATAGCATTGATAAAATATTCATATTATTAGGGTTTATATACAAATAGACATAATTTTTCTTTCTAAGAGCGGGTTAGGTCGACAGCAGGTTGGGTTTTTGGCTAAACCCACATCCAACTCAACCCACCAATTCCAAAAGTGGGTTTTATCCGCACCACCCAAAACTCGTTAACATGAATTTTACCCATTTGACAAGGTTGGATTAGGTTCGGTACTCGCGGGTACGAGTTCAAGTGTCATCCCTAGTGCTAAATGCTAACTTTATAGATGTTAGCACCATGCTAACTACTACACCCACCATTCACATTTGCAACTTACTCGGTTTCAGGAGGGTCACTTGTCGGTTCGAACCCCAAAGGAGAGAAGGAATTATTTTGCCAATCAAAATGTACTTTCCTCTAATATTTATTTATCTAATGCATTGATTATGTATAAAACACAATGATATCCATTTTGCTATATTTTGAAAAGAAAAAAAAAATCCAATTCAAAACACTTATTTGCTATAATATTAGCACTATCATATCACGATCTTACCACTATGGTAAGACTAACGGCACATAATACCCTCTATTATATAATAATATTATCACTATATCTTAATATGACGTCCTCAAAATATTTTGTCAAACATAAATTTTCATACTAATATATCAAGTTATTTTATGAAAAATAAAACCTAATATCAACATCATATCACTTGGTTTAGTGGCTTTGAAACCAAATTCTCAATTTATTTCTTCGACATCGTTTGATTGCGGTTATGAAGAGGAATCGTCGTGTATGATAGTGTGGTAAAATTAATCATTAGATCCAATTTCGTTTGTGCTAGTTTTCATTTACGTGGACAACAGCATTCAGCAATAGCCCATCCATTTTGGAGGATGAGAAATGTGGTTGGTAAAGCCAAAGGCGCAAAGAGTCGCGGAAGCTTCAACATCCAACTAACTTCTACCTATTCACGTGACAACCCCCGGTCAATCTCTTTTGCCTACATCGTGGAACTGCTATGTTTGGTCACTCGATTTATCAAAACGTTTTCACATTTTTCATCCAAAAAGTATTCATTAATTTCTTATTAGTTACTCACTTTAATTCTTTTTTTCATCACTAGTTACTAGCCATTCAACTTCGTTAGATTCATCCTATGTGACGGTGAACTCACACATTTGATTGTTAAATGAGTGACTTGCCAAATAAAAAATTAAATTAAATTTATTTTCCACCTCATAACTATAACTATTAAAAATAATAAAAATTTAATTCTTTTTTATTTTTCTTCACCACCCAGCCAATATCTGTAATTTTTCATTCCAACAATGTTCTCGTTACTAAGTTTCTCGAACATCCTCACGCCAATGTCCATCCCGAACTCCTCCCTCTCCATACCCGACTCCTCCTTGCATACTTTGTCCCATAAATAATTTGTTTATCCGAGCCCTCTTTGTGTTGGCACTCTGCAGAAACCGGGTTAGAGGATTGAGCCGACATAGGGAAACCCTCCACTGTCACCTCCTCCTATCAAGGAAGAAGGCATGGAGTTCACCTTACCGACTGGCAAGTTCCGGAGAGACACCACCATTTTGTTGATCGAGTTGGAATCCAACGAGCGACTAAGCGTCTATTGAGTCATCGGCGACAAGTCTATCTTGGGAGGCGAAATAGAGCTCGACAAAGCATAAAGGGTAGAGTTTGAGCATATGAAGCTTTAATTTCCTGTCAGGATGACGATCCATGTGCGACTCAGACACTCTGTCAAAGATTTCGAAGCCCTCTCCTATTCTTCGATTTGTGGCTAGTGTTCTAGTCCGTGCTGAAGGCCAACAATTCGATCAATTCAATCACCGTCATCCAGCCAACAGAAGCCTCCAAGCACATGGGCAGTGAATCAGGATGCTCTAGGATGACTTTCTGATGAAGTAGTTCATCTCCACAAAATGATGGTTGAAGTGCCATTTCACGCCTAAGGGTGCCATTTTGGGTATTGTTTCTTTAAATCGTCCTCTCTTCAAATTTCGGCTCCAACAAGTAGATCTCGATGTCTCCTACAGCTTCCAAGTGGTCCACTAGTCTGCTTTGACCTGAAAATGCATAAAATGCTACCAAAAGTGTATCAATCGTATAAAAGCAATCCTAGGGTAGCTAGAACACACTTGAAGCAATTATAGCACAAATCCTTTAATGTCGTGATAGGGAAATGTATGCACTTTTGATCATATTACGAGAGTATGGAATAGACATTTCTATGTGTCATCACATAACCCCACACATGAATTTTGCCTGTCCCCAAGCAAACTTAATCTCAACATCCTTCACCTCCCTAGACCTTCACAATGACACATGACTTCCGATCTTAGGTAGTGGATCATTAGGAGCTTACAAGGTGATAGACCGTTAATTACACATGTTTTTACCCCTGTTCTTACACCGTTTGAGATGTGGTTTCTCGTGTTTTAGGGCGATTTCACGCTAGGTTGTGCTTGTTTGTGATATTTCAGGTCCTAGTACGTGAATGGAGGCTTGGGAGCGAGTTTGGGGTCGATTGGACGAAGATCGAACACGTGGCGAGGTGCTAAGGAAGCCACACGGGCATTCCTGGACACCACACGGCCTGTGCAACTCACCCTTGTGGCCGTGTGGTTTGTGCCGAGAGCAAACACGGGCAGGATGGAAATTCCACACGGCCGTGTGACCCTGGCCGTGTGGGATGCCTGAAATTCGAACTAATCGATACGCACCAGTTTTGGAAGCCACACGAGCAACTGGGTGAGCCACACGGCCGTGTGGCCTGCCCGTGTGAGTCGGGAAATCTTGGTTTTTACCCAATTCCGAGCCACAAGTGAGAGAATCGGATTTTCATAGCAAAAACAGAGCCCTAGAGAGAGAAAGTGCGAAGAACACATCCTAGAAGCTATCTTGGAGCTGGGTTTCATCAAATCGAGCTTGGAGATCGTCATAGGAGTGGAAATCATCATCCCAGAGCAGATTTTCCTCATCTTTATGAGTATGACTACTCTGATTTCTGTTTTCCTCTCTCTCTCTATGGAGTAGAACCCTTCTCTCACTTGGGTATGAAGAACCCTAGTTCCATGTGTTAGGGATTTGATTGTAATGACTTGGGATGATTATACTATTTGGTTTTAATCGAATGATGCATGTTTTATTGAATTGATTGAAGTCTGATCAGCTTTTCTTGATTTCTGCTGCAACCTGAGATAGATAGAATCTGATTAGGTTGTTAGAGCTTCTTCATTCGATAGTAGGAGATTGGTTATACGAGAGTTAGCCAGTTTACTGCTTTGTACTGGAATCCAATTCCAGTAGTGGAGTTCTGTGCTCATTGCTTCAGCTTTCTGTCCCGGTGAAGACTAGTCGTCTGCCGGGTAGTTAAACTGAGAGGGCTTGGTCAGCTTAAGAGATTCCAAGCTACTGTCGGATCTTCCGCAGTTTAATCAACAGAAAATCAACCCAGGGTAATTACAATTGAAACCTAACTAAGGAGCTAGGGGGACTCATTTCCCGAGTGACTCTTCCCTGCTTTTGAAAACCTGAACCATTTTCTGCTTTCTTACTGCTTTTATTTTAAACAACAATCACTCGACTTAGTTGGCTAGATAATAGATAATCACGGAGTAAGCAGTAAATCTAGACCCCGGGTTGATAGTAGAACTTGCCTGTTACTGCATTCCCGGACTGCGATTACACTTGGTCGCAGTTTGGTGTTGTGTTTTGGCGTGTTCACAAGGTCAACCCTTGCACTCAGAAACTTTGATCCTCTGCAATGATGCTCAAAACGTACTTCGTAAGGACGAAATGATTCATCTTTCAAGAGATGGAGTTCGCTTCCTCTTACTTGAGTCTTATTTAATGAATATTGGGGCAAAGCATATGTAGCTTGATTAGGAAGTATTTGCGTTTCTGCCCACGTAAGTGTTTTGAAGTGTTTTCGTCTTAAGACGATCTTGCCATGCCACATTGCACTTTCCATGGTACTTTATGCACATAAGGGTTTTTTTTGCCTCGTACTTTTGTACTTGGAGAGACTTGATAAAGCAAGAGCAATTTTTCTAGCTCCTTTTCCTCGATCGTGCGGATGGTCAATGAAGTCAAGGGGTGTTCCGTGTCCTTGAAAACACATCATCAAGTTGGCAATTCTATCATACAAGTGAAATTTTTACTTGTACTAGAGAGGAACTAGGATCATCTCGTAGGCCTACCCCACCAAGACTCAACTAGTAACTCTTCCCAAACCCGATTTTTCCAAGGATAGGATGGAAGAGCACGGATCTAGGTGTGCGATTGAGGATCGTGATTGGTATGAGAATTAGGGATTTGGGATGAGGTAGAATTAGGGATTTAGGGTTGAGAGAAGAGGTTTTCGGTCACCGGGATGGTGGCCGACGAGTTGGAGAAGGGAAGAGGGGGTTCGGCTATGATAGGGAGAGAGAGAGAGAGCTTTAGGGAATAATTCTGTTGTTATTGCTTAACCCTAGCTTATGCCTAACACAGAATATATATAAACCGACTAATTCCCTATAACTATCCAAAGACTTAACCTAACCG